CCAGCGTGTGTGCCGTGTGCCACCATGTGGTGCGGGGCCTGTTTGTGTGGTGCCAAGGCTGCAGCCATGGAGGCCACCTCAACCATATTATGGACTGGCTACAAACATCTCCTTATTGCCCCACGGGCTGTGGTCACCTGTGTGAATACACGTGAGGTCACCTAGCTGCGTGTAAACCAGAGGCTTATTCTCATATCCTTTAAACACAACACAGCAGAACGTGCATTTCGGAATGACAAGAGATCGCCGTGCACGTGATCCGGAAGCGCAGCTGAATTCTTGTCCCGAAGATCGGGAGCCGCAGAGTGACCCCTTCGCAAGAAGTCTGAAAACAATCTGCATTTAGGGGCATTTGGACACACGACCCATGTTCATGAAATGCAGATTAACTGTTGGGAAAAGCATTGTCTCGTTTTTGGGTCCTGGTTCATGGTCTTCAATCGCAATGCCCGACTTGCAACTATGCATGAGCGCATCCACACATGGTCCACGCATCAGATTGAACGAGTATGGTACATGTGTGGAGAATACTGGACTTCTAAAGCTGCATCATTGTGAGTGGGGACTCGTGCAATGCAGTTGGGAAGTGCTGTTTTTATTGTCACGTAACATTCAAAAGCCTGCTGGTTTGCACTCTTTGTAATTTTGTAATAAATGTTAATTTTGTTTCTCCGTTGTTTTTTGTTGGGATATATGTAAAGGTATATGCAGACTGAATTCAATTGATATTTGCAATTTCACGTGTCCATTAGTGTAATTTACACTGTGTATAAACGTTTTCTCTTGCTAAGTGTTTTTCTCTCCATAATTCCATATTTTGTTCGTGTTTACGTACGATTGTTTAATGTATCTACCCACGTAACCTCTAAAATTTCCACCAGCTCATAACTCATTGGGTTTTTGCCAGCTTGTATAGAATGTCTATCCATCGCTAAGCTACTAATTGGCTACGTAAACAGCAGCTTAGCAAAATCCATTGTTTTAAAGTACTTCAATCCTCCCTGCCTTCAATCCACACTCACCAGCATGGTGAAGTATGGCCAAATAACCCCAACAGCCTGCATGACAGTACAGTACTTGGTTTGTGATTGTAAATATACTAAATGCTGTATTGCATTGTCTTTATACCCGACGTGTTCACGTAATCGTTGATATTTTCGCAGATTTATTTTACTTTCAGTTTATTTTGGTATAGCCCTGTGAGCCATTCGGCTCTTGATTCCGGTGAAACCACAAAAAAAAACTAAAACACGAACAAGAAAACATCTTAAAGTGACTATGTGAGTGTGCAAACAGAAAATCCATGAAAAAATAGCAAAATATTCCTGAAAAAAAAAGCACCGTACACCAACGCTGTGTGCAAAAATCCCAGTGGGATGCAAGTCAACAACAACAACCACAAAAAAACTTAGATTAAGGCAATCAGTCTAACTCCATACTACAATAAAACACACGTCCAAACCAAAAAACTTTTCGAAATCACCAAACAAAGCCATAATTGCAATATAACAGTGACCATAGGGACTGTGACCGAATTTTTACAATAAACTACGTAAATAACATGTAACACCAAATTCTAGAGCCATAGCTGGCTGCATGAGTTACTCCACAACAACAGAAGCATCAATCGGAGTATCAATTTTTCCAATGCACCCTTAAGATCAGCACGCTAAATCAATACAGATAATTTGCAGTGTCATCCGGAGCGAAAACATTTTATTTGATTTTATGCCAATGAATAGCAGTGGCAGCTAGGGGTGTACAACTCCTCTAGAGCAGTTTTGAGAGAATATCTCATTGGTAGCGATTCAAGTTGCAGTTTATTGGCAATAGCATTCCAGACCCTGGAGGCATCGATAGCAAAGGCCCTTCCTCCAGTTTTTGTACGGCAATAGGGAATGTGAAGCTGGTAAATGAGCGAAGACCTGAGGTCAAATTTGTTATTTGAAACAGAGGAGATCCAGCAGGTAGTCTGCGGATTTTTTTGTAAGCACATCGTGAATAAATAAGATCTGGTGCACAAGCCGTCGAACATTAAGAGATGTTAAGTTTGACCCAATGTAGAGATCACAGTGGTGAGTGCTATATGGGCAGTTCAATGCAAATCTTAAGGCCGAGTGATAGATGGAATCAAGCTTCTTAAGTACACTACTTGGGGATGATTTATACACGATGTCGCAGTAATCAAGTAGAGGCAGTATGGTAGCTTTTATCAATTCCAAACGGAACATAGGGGGGAAGTAGTGCTTGTGTCGATACAGAAAACCAATTTTTTTTGTCTTTTTACCAATATTATCAATGTGATCTTCAAAATTCAGTTTTGAATCCAGGATGACCCCAAAATACGTATATATCTTGACTTGCTCTATTTGATAATTATTTAAGGAATGTAATTGGGGAAAAAATAACTTCCTGCTTTAGTTCTGGTGAGAAGCATAGCACCTTGGTTTTGGAGGTATTCAGGACTAGTTTAAGAGCAACTAGCTGATGTAGTTTGTTGAAATCACCATGGAGCTTAGCAATCACGTCATCCGGAGAGCGGCCAGCAGTAATCAGTATCGTGTCATCTGCAAAAATATTTATCCTGGAATGATCCAGGTCAATGCCCAAGTCATTGACATAAAGAGAACAAGCGGGAGCCGAGGATGGAACCCTGTGGAACCCCTTTTGTTATCTTAACACTGTTTGATCTCCAACCATCTGTGAATACAGTTTGGGTGCGAGAAAAAGAGGTAATTTTAACCATTTTACTGTGTTTTCGGAAAAACCGAGGCAACTTAGTTTACTAAGCAGGGTGTTGTGGTCTACTGTATCAAAAGCTTTGGACAGGTCAAGAAAAAGACAGGCACAGTACTGCTTATTATCAAGGCTACTGTAAATGTGATTCAGAGAGTCTAATGCAGCAGATGTGGTGCTGTATTTTTTTCGGAACCCAGATTGTTTTAGATGCAGTAGATTGTTGGTGGACAGGAAACTGCTAATTTGGTAGTTCAATAATTTTTCAAATTTTTTTATCAATGGGGACAAAATTGAGATAGGTCGGTAGTTATTTGGGTCATCTTTAGGGCCCCCTTTGTGAAGTGGACGGACATAGGAATGTTTCCATTCTAGAGGAACTGATGCTTCTTTGATGGACAGGTTGAAAATATGGGCTATAGGTTTGTATATTAGATGACCAACAGTTAGTAGAGCAAAGACGGGAATAGTATCTGCTCTGGTAGAGGAGGACCCTTTGAGGTAGGACAGTTGTTTCAGAACATTAATTTCGTGGATTGGCTGGAAACTAAATTCATTTAATGTTTGGACAGGGGTATAGAAATTTGCATGAGCAGGGGTGACTCCCAATACATTATCAAAAAGATTACCAGCTTCAGAAAAATGAAGGCTAAAATTGTCAACTATTTTTTTGGGATCTGAAAAATATTCCCCATTTTGGTTAAGCTCAACGGGCAGATTGTCTGTTTTGGATGCCTTTTCGATACATTTGATTGTTTTACAAAAATCCTGGCATTTTCATGTGATTGCAGGAGAGTGGAGGAAAAGTAGGCATTTTCTGCATACCGTATTTTTTTGACGCATCTATTCTTTAAAATCCTGTATTCTAGCCAGTCATTGACCAAATTACTTTTCTGAGCACATGCCCAAGCCTTGTCCCTAGTTTTCATGAGCTTTGTAATCAAAGGATCAAACCATGGTGGGTGGTTGCCTTTAGTTTTAAATCTAACCAACGGAGCATGTTTGTTAAGAATTTGGAGAAACGTGTACCTGAAGGTCTCCCAAGCCGTAGTCAGGTTGGGGATATCACAGACCTTGTCAATATCCGAGTGAAGCACATCATTAGTAAATGCCTGAGTGCTGAAGTGTCTCAGAGTGCTTCTCAACCATTGTAGGGGGGGGCTTTGGGTCTGGCTGATGATCTCACCATAAAAATGAAGGAGTTATCACTAAGGTTATTACCCAGAACACCAGTCAGTGCGAAATTGTGAGGGGCATTTGTCAATAGGACGTCAAGCAGAGATGACTGTCCCGGATTTTTTTAGGTTGGGTCTTGTGGGGACATTTATTAATTTAAACAGGTTAAATTCATCTGCAAAATTTGTGGCCACGGCCGGCGGGTTTAGCCAATTCCAATTTAGATGACCCACTAAAACTATTTTACCTTTATAGGGAGGCCCCCAAAAAGCTCTCTCAGTGCAGATGCAGCTGCAACATCCATCCCACTAGGCGGTCTATAGCAGCACACTACCAATATCTGTTGATTATTTGGGAGAGTTATTCTGAGAGCCAGACATTCAAAGCAACATTTTTTAAACAAGGAGTGAGCTGACAATTCCACCTCCTTTAGATCCTCGGTCAAGCCGAAAAAGGTTGTAGTTGTCAATGGTAATCTGCAAGTCATTGACGGCATATACTGTATCACTTTTGAGCACCACTTCGTGGGACAGCAACAGCTTGTCCTGTGGAATAAATCATCCCCGTCAATGGGAATGTTGAGTTTCCATCGTTAATGGAAATTAACCCCGCTTAATGCTCGTTTTATGTCCACAAGCCCAAACCAGAATATTAATTTAGGAGGAATCCGATGAGCTATGAAGCTCTTTACTACAAATGTCCAATCGGGGTGGGTTAGCGAGTTACAACGATACAAAGCCCGATAGGAGTGCAAAATAGAGAAAAGGTAAGCAAGTAAAGAAAACTAAATACAAATGTATAAAAAACATTCTATAAGTATTACAAAAATTACGTAAAATCCTGCCGATGTTTAAAAACTAAAGTGCAAGCTCGAGAGGCAATTTGACTCTTTTTGCCAAGCGAGTCCAGGGCGTGAAAAGTAACATTCGTCGCATGGGCTCCGAGGCAGGACGCGGAGCTCCGTTTCTCGGGTTTGCTCTCCTGGCGGAGCTCCGTTTCTCGGGTTTGCTCTCCTGGCGGAGCTGCACCGAGGCAGGGGCCGCACGACGGCACGAGACTTTCCAGCACACACTGCTGCCCCCGGGGCACTCTCCGTGTTGACTCGCGTGAGCCGAGCGACGCTCCGTCGGCCCTGGGGGCATCTGTTAAACTCCGAAGGACCACAGCGACCTGGAGGAGGTGACGTCACGCATGGGCGACATGGCGGAGCGGCTGGAGGAGGAGGAGGCGGTGCCTTGCAAGCCCTCGCAGCCGGACTCAGGTGAGGCGCGGTGTACGCGATGCCCGCTCACTCTCCGCTCTCTCCTCTGTCGTCGTGGTGGTCGTGGTGGGGGGGATCAGGGGGAGGAGATGGCAGCGGGTGAGGTGCGGCGCGTACGAGGCAAGGCTGCAGGAGAGGTAGCTGGGCCCATCGCGGAGCTCCGTCGCTGGCTCCAACCCCTCCTCCCCCGCGACCAGCGGCGATGTCGACCCCGAGTCTCGCGAAGCTAAGCAGGATTGGGCCTGGACCGCGCCTGGATGGGAGACGACCGCGCGCGCGCGCGAAGCTCCGCGTCCAGGCAGCAGAGGGCACTGTAGCGCGGGGCCCGGTCGTGACCAGCGTGGTGAAGTATGGTCGTTACTGTCCACGGCTGTTGCGGGGAGGGATGGACAGAGCAGAGCTGCACGCACGTGCACGAGACCTTGCCCTGAGCCTGCTCTCTACCCTCGCTGGAGACTGTGCGTGAGATGGGTGGCAGAGGAGAGCGAGGGGGGTGAGCTCCCAGTTCGTGTCTCACGTGAGGGCAGGAGGGCGCGGTGCCCGATGCCCACATTCCACGAACTTTAACATCGTGGATGTATCTTGATTCGTTCGGTGGCGAGATGTTATCTCCCACGCCTGCTGTGCAGGAGGTCGTGGGTTCTTAGTTCTTAGTTCCATTTATTAGGTATAGCCCTGTGAGCGATTCGGCTCTTGAATCGAGTGCAACCACAACAAACAAAAAACTAAAACATGAACAAGAAAACATCTTAAAGTGATTATGTGACTGTGCAAACAGAAAATCCTGGGAAAAAAAACATCAAAATATACCTGAAATAGCACCATACACCAACGCTGTGTGTAAAAATCCCAGTGGGATGCAAGTCAAACAACAAGAACCACAAGACAACTAAGATTAAGGCCATCAGTCTAACTCCGTACTACAATAAACAAAAACATGGCCAAACCAAAAAAACGTTTTCGAAATCACCAAAATAAAGCCATAAATGCAATGTAACAGTGATCATAGGGACTGTGACCAAATTTTTAACAATAAACTACATGAATAAATTATAACACCAAACCCTAGAGCCATATTTCGATCCAGACCCCTGTCGCCTGCTGCTGCTGTATATTTATAAAGTTTGCGTGTGTGGTGTCTCAGCCCGTGGTCGCGTGGATATTTATCTGGGTCCTCGGGGTTTTCCCTCGAATCAACATCACGCGTTTAGAGAATTTGGCCGCTATATATTTCCACACAATGATAAGCCACTTCGTTATTTATGTTATGTAGTTTATTGTTAAAAATTCGGTCACAGTCCCTATGATCATTGTTACATTGCATTTATGGCTTTATTTTGGTGATTTCGAAAAGTTTTTTGGTTTGGCCATGTTTTTGTTTATTGTAGTACGGAGTTAGACTGCACCACCCACGTCGATTACTGTATGTAATGAACATGATTCATAAAGAAAGTAGTTTCTTTTGGGTTAGTTCGAGTAGATATCATGCCAGAGTTGGTACTAAATAACCCTACACCACTCGTGTTAACACCTGATGGCGGTGGTTGTAATCTATAGCGAAAAGTCGTACTGTACTTTATTTTTAATATTGTTTGCATTCCATCATTTCGCTTTTACTGATAAACCAAATCGCATGCCACATTTGCCCACGTTAATAAATGTATTTCATTGGCTCAGGTTGTGGAGGGTTATATTTAAAAATTTACATGCCTATTCTTGGTTCTTTCGGTAAAGTCATGTAGATGGAAAATAAAATAAAAAATAATCAAATTGAATTAAATTAAAAATAATAAATTGAAAATCATAAAAGCAAAAATGTACATACCTACACAATCTAATCCAAAATAAACTATTAATAAACATTGGTTGTGAGAGCCTACGTATACAATTCATTATCATTGTAGAGTTTATCTTTGATGATTCTGAAGGAGTACATTGTGCTTTGTGTGCTGCCTTGAAGCTTCATTCTTGATACCGGATGGCACTGCATGATTAAACATTGCTTGGTGCATGGCACGTGCCTGGGTGTCCGCACCATGTTGTCCTGGCTCATACGGTGAGGGGCATTTCTGCCATGTGTGCAGTGGCTGTGGACCACACTCAAAGCGATCCCATGGAGATGGTCCCTCTGAAGCTGGAGGAGCCCATGGAGGTTTCTCTCCCTCAGCCAGACTGTGCAGCCACGCGGGAGGGCACCGATGTCGTCTCGGCTTCATCTTCCGCAGGTATCTCTTGAACGATTCCTCTTTCGTCACTGTCATTGGAAAATTGCGGGCAAAAGAATTGTGAGCTGAAGGCAACTTGAACTCACGTTTAAATTATATCTGAAAGTCACAAGAGCGTGCCCAATGCTCCCGTGGCAAAATTCCAAACTCCCCCGTCGACACATTGAGAGTTGAAAATCGGAGGTTCTGCTGGTTTGCACTCCAACTCAGGCAAAAAAAAATTGGATCAGGTGTGGCCGTCGCAGACTCCAGGATTCAGTTTGCCTACTCGTCGTGTTCACTTTCTCTTTTCTCACCTCCCGTTCAATGTTTGTCACGGCAGACAGGCACGTTTCCATCCAGGAGTCTCTGGAGGATCTGGAGAACCTCATCCAGGTGGACACTGGTGAGTTCCCTTCACCTCTTGATTCCAAAACATTCGGAGCAGTCTATGTGTGCCTGCAGGTGTAGAGCATGGCACGTCGCATGTGAAAAGCATAGAACCATTTCAAATGTACGTGACTGGATATAGCCCAGTGGTTGGCATGCCCAGCACCGGATCAGTTTGTGTGGATTCTATACTGTGGCGTGTGATGATTTACCCTGATCGTCATTCAGTTGTCATGGTTCTATTTTAAAAAATCTATGTTTTTATGTAGTGATTAATGTAGTGGCTTGTCGTGGCTGGAGCGGTTTTGTGAACCCATTACATTTGTCATTTGATCTGTAAGCAATTCTATGTGTGTATTGTGAGCTTAAGAATGGACATTGATGAAACCATGTATTGTTACACACACACTGCAGAGTTATTATAAAGAAAACAATTCAACACATTCGGAATCAGAATATGTATTCATACTGGAGGAATCCAATGAGCTATAAAGCTCTTTCTCACATATGTCCAGTCAGGGCGGGTAAGAGCGTTACATTCGTCAATATGACTGCCTTAAAAGGAAAAAAGATATAAAATAGATACTATACAAGTTAAAATACCCATTATGTTGTCTTACACTCACCAGGGTCAAAAGCATGAGTATCAACCTCGTGGAAAATCAACATTGCTTTTCCTATGGCAAGACTTTCTCCTTCTTGGGACTGTTTTCATGTCATTGTTGGCACTCACATAGGATCCATAAGAAACAACTGTTCAAGGGCCACCACTAGAGGCGAACACCGGTTCACGCTGCTGTGAACAGGGAGACACTTTAACATGACTTTGCTTGTCAGTGAATTATTGCCGTTTTACAAATACGAAGGAGGCATCACAGTGATACGCTCCGTTTGCTACTGCTAATGCAATTGTCTGGCCCAACCAGCTGACGGTGAAATTATAGTTGTTGTTCTACATCTACATAAGCAATACTTGATGGAAGAATATTGCCACTGTGTTTTTTTGAGCAGGAGGTAAGAGAGCCTGCCCACTCTGCTCAGAGGAGAAGTTCAGACCAACGTACAACCACAAGCTCAAGCGTCACCTACAGAATCTGCATTGGAAAGTGTCCCTGGAGTGCAATGGTAAGCCATCTTTCATTGCTCATGAAATATTGAAACATAGTTAATGGTACTCTGACTACAAGAGTGTTCTTCATTGGAAGGCCCACGGGCCACTGGCGTCTCCTGGTGGCCTCTGGTGCGGCCTCTGACATGCGCACTCCCCCCCCCCCCCCCCCGACAATACACAAATGTGAAAACACCCCATCATGCTGTCAAACCAAAAGGTTTCAAATGTGTGGTGGCCCTCACACTGATGTCTTATTGGCAAAAGTGGCCTCCCTCTGAAAATTAGTGAAGAACACTGACTACAACATTGACTCATTTGTTTTGCCTAATTCCCTCATCCTGAAGTTCCGTCAACCCATTACGCCGTGACGTGCCTACTTCAGTAAGAGCTCTCATCGTGAACCAAACAAATGTCCACAGTGGAAAACAGAGGAGGGATCACACTCAGAAGGACCACCACCGTGGAGATGCAACTCAAGATGGATTGGGGGCATTGCAGAACTGTGATGAACAGCAGTGGATAGAATATCATTGCTGACGATGATATGTGCCACTACAGTCGATGAAGTAATAGTGCAGAGGGTTGGCCCATATAAAACAGAAACACGGATAAGAGCAAAACACTTATAAATTAGTCGATAAAACCCTCTTTATTTTCTTCTTCTTTTGTTCTTTCGGTAAAGTCACGTAGAATGAGAATAAAATAATAAATTGATAAAATAAAATAACACAATACCTACATAGAATAGGGGTGCGTACGTAGAGTGTGTCATCCGTTTTTTTATTTTTTCTTAAAGCGAATTGTTCATTTACAAACTTGTTTGCAGTCCCAGGGTATTATAGTGGTTTTGTGACATCATCCCGCAGGGTCATTCTCTGACTTACGGTCATATACTGCCAGCTGCAAGCGTTCCACGTGGTAATTTGTCTTGCGACGTGATGTCAAGGCACAATTGGGATATAGAAGTAGCAATATAAAAGAATATGGATTAAATGTTGTTTGCTGGTGCTGTTTGTCTGCAGGCCTGCGCATGTGCATCTGCCACCTGCCGTGTCGCCTGCACAAGCAGTCCCATGGAATTGAGCCAGTGAACAGTTCCCCGCCAACTTGTGTCCAACCCCAAGTGAGTCACTCATCCAGCACTTTCAGAATACGATTGCTCCGTCTGCAAACTACCTTAAAGAATGCAAAACTTCACAAATTAATACAGTAGCTGTTGGCTTGTAGAAACAGTAATACCCCGATTTACGTCTCCCCTTTTAACGTTGTTTCGCAATGCGTTGTCACTTTATGAATACCGCTACCGAATTTGCATTGCCTGAAACCACACTTATGTCGCTGACAGCTTCCGTCCTTTCTCGTATCCGTCTCCTCTCTGCCTTCGCCTCCATCACGCATAGTCACCGAATGACCGTTGTGACAACCGTGTGACCTCTTGCAACAGCATTCGCATAAACTGCTCTTGCTGCCATACACCGGTGTCTCCGGTGATTTATTTGATCCATGTATCACGGGGGCAACCACGGGGGGCGGCACCATTCCTTTGAGGGTCGCAGTCCACTTCTAAGGTCAACCTCCAACTGTTTCAGTTTCATTTATTTGGTATAGCCCTGTGAGCCATTCGGCTCTTCAATCGGGTGCAACCGCAACAAACAAAAAACAAAAACACGAACAAGAAAAACATCTTAAAGTGACTATGTGACTGTGCAAACAGAAAATCCAATTAAAAAAACAGCAAAATATTCCTGAAAAACGCACCGTACTCCAACGCTGTGTGCAAAAAATCCCAGTGGGATGCAAGTCAAACAACAACAACAACAACCACATGACAACTAAGATTAAGGCCATCAGTCTAACTCCGTACTACAACAAAACAAACATGTCCAAACCAAAAAAACTTCTCGAAATCACCAAAAAATCAACCCATAATTGCAACGTAACAGTGATCATAGGGACTGTGACCGCATTTTTTACAATAAACTACATAAATAACATGTAACACCAAACCCTAGAGCCATAGCTGGCTGTGGGGCATGATTGAGGGGTCTGTTGGCAGCATTCTGGATCATTTGAATGTTAGCAGTGGAAGGATTTGGGGGAGTCCACATTTGACTCCGATTATGACCATGTAACACCAAACCCTAGAGTCATCGCTGGCTGCATGAGTCACTGAAGTGCACCTCCACCTACCTTATAAATTGCTTTGATTTACGTCATTTCGATATTCGTCGTATCTTTCAGGAGCGCATCCCCGATGTAAACCAGGATATTACTGTACATATCTGAGCTACCTTGCATCGGCTGTTCAACATACGTATTGGGATTATTAATGAGCAAAATTATGTAAACACACAGCCGAGTGACTTTCAGGTACACCGCCACAGTGCCCTAGCAATACGATAGCCACACAGAGTCCTCTCTGTCATCCATGACAGGAGCACTTTGACCCTGGGTACGTCACAATATGTGGCACATGGTGGGAGGCACTCCATATTAGTTTTTGTAGCCCAGTGCATTGGGAAGTTGAAAGCGTAATGGCGGAACGCCTTGTTGTAACCGGGAGCTCGGATTTGAGAGTTGAATCGGTCAGATTTGTCCTGCTCGAGTTCCACGCATCAATATGGTATTTATTTTTTAAAGAAACACAACAGCAGCCACAAATAATACGTTTGGTTGCATCCTTTAAAAAAAGTTTGGAATTTGAACTGTGAGCACTGCCACATGAGGTGAGGGCACGTATTTGATTTACATTCATTACCTCTTGATGAGCAGCTGACCATCGTGTGAATGCTTTTTCCACATCGTACCTGTACCGTTGATATAATATTGCATTTCCCGCCTGTGTACTTTCACGGCCCGTGGCCTGCGTGGAAGTGTAACAACTGTGACTGGATGCGGCGCGTTTGGCTGTGCCGATTGTAGCCGCCCGTGTGGTTTTTGACACAGGCCCAGGGGAAGATGGCTGCGCACTACCACTGCGCCGTGTGCTCCGTCACGATCATCCGCAAGACCGACATGCTCAGCCACCTGCACCGGCACTACAAGCGGGGCGAGACGTACGGCAACTACAGGGAAGGTAGTGCCCACTCCTGCCGCTGAAGCTCAGTGGCCATGGCAGAGGCACGCAAGGGATTTGCCGGCCAGCGATTTTTTTTTATATCTATATAATGATGTCTGAGCACAGGCCCATTATGTCAAGCAGCCAGCAACAAACAGCGTTATTGAATGTTATATGAACTTGGGGAAAAGAGACGGTGGGACAGGATTCCAAAATTAAGTGCAGTGTATGTATGTACGGTGAACTTGTTTCGCACCATACGTAGGCAACCGTGCTCATTAGAGGTGCGGGGGAAGGACAACAAACTAAACACAATCAGTGCACAATCGGTGCATGGAAAGAAGCAGCAAAGATCTTTTTTTTATCGCCTGCAGTGTGGTGGTTGAACGCAGTGTGTGCGCTGCTGCCTGTAAGTTACCAGGGGACGAAGGAAAGAACGCACCCAGGCCAGACAGGACTCTCAAAGCTTCCAAGCTATCAATAACGACAACACGCGCTGTCACTATAACAAGATATGTGGTTCCAGTATTGGCCTCATCAGCCACCTGCATACCCACAAACCCTGAAAATCATCCCTGTCCATGGATGACCGTCATCCTCGACCTCGGGGACCTAGACAATGACGTTGCTATAAATTGATTAAGTCAAATGACCTCTTCTTTGGTTCTTTCGGTACCGAAAGAACCAAAGAAGATGAATCCTTGCAGTCACGAAAGCTTTAAATCGAAATCAAATGACCTCGTCTGATAACACAATTGCGATATAATTAGTGAATGAAGGACATGTAAAAAGGAAATTGCAATATTAACAATCAATATCCGTTTACAAACACAGCAACAATATCTAAATTGTACAGAATTACTTTGTCATGAGCCCTCTTATAATAGAACAATTTATATTATGAAATTAACTGACTGTATATTATCTGTGGTCAGACAGCTTTGATAATGATAGTGTGGAGGCTTTTTTAGTGTTGCTCAATTTCTGTAATCCATCATCATTGCCCACGTATGATTAATTCTCTCTCCATCCGGTGTCTTCTATAGCAGAACCTTCTTACCCTTCCCACAGCACGTGTGTTTACACTGGTGTTATTATTATGATTACACTTATTCTTAGCTCTTTCGGTAAAGTCACGTTGAAGGGAAACAATAAAAGGGAAACAATAAAATAATAAAATATAAAATATATTTTATTGTTTCCATTCAACGTGACTTTACCGAAAGAGCTAAGAATATGAATTACTGCAGTCACGAAAGTTTTACTGGTAGGAACGAAGTTGTAAACTGAGTGTACCAGCCTGCAATAGATTAATGTGTCCGTCCGTCCGTCCCCTTTCAATACTTTAACGAAGTGAAATCTCGTGCTGTTGGGTGTAAAATTAGCAATAGACAGTGCAGAGACTTGATATGTCTTATTGCACCCAACATTTGGAAGTCACATTATCTCATTTGCGAACTTTGCTTTTGGGGATGTTTTGCACAATTTTACGTAACAATGTCATAAAATTGCGCAAAATTCCAATGTTCCTACCAGCCCACCCTGCAGGGACCTGTTAAATCAAAATGATTACACTTGTTTTACTAATGGAAAGCCTCACTTAGCCTCGACACTCTTTTTAAGGACAGTACTTTCAAATGTTTTAGTAGTTGGAGGCAATGATTGCTACGTATATTTGCATTTCATTTGATCAAATATGGCAGATTTGGACTATGACACCAGCACACAATGGTCTACTCTTGAGAATGACGTCACACCATCTTTAATGCCCATTGTGAAGCAGAGCGCTAGTATTTTTAAAGTTAATACACCCGCAATATTAATTAGGGCGGCCGCTGGATTCGAACCGTGAACCACTGCAATTGCTGATCCAAGTCACTCATGTACCAGGTCTCGTGATGTCGTTGCACTTAGATGCCTTTTACAAGTGTAGTCACATTGGGTCGCTGCCCCTGCACGGCAGGGAATTGGGAGTGGGGGGGGGGTGGCGCCGTGTTGATTTCCTGTTGTGCGTTGTGCTTCTCACCGCTGGCGTAGCGGTGAGCTCTGTCGCGGGGAGCGTGCTGACCTCCCCGCCCTGCGGCCGCGTGCTGAGCGAGGCCGACACGAGCGTGCACGTGTTCCCCAATCACAACGTTCCGCAGAAGTCCGACTCCTTCTTCAACCCACGCATGAAGCCCAACCGGTCAGCTCTACTCAAAAACACAGATTCTCCCCCCCCCCATAGCCTTAACAGACTGTTGGGACAAGTGCTCGAAGCGAGCACCTATGAAGGCTGGCACGGCACACGAGGGGGTGGGTGGCCACCACCACGCCCTGCCGCCTTTGTCTCCCCAGCGGCAATGTTGACACACCACACCAGGTATCCATTTGAGTGTGAGTCGACCTAGGAGAGGCCCAGGACCCATTCAGATAATCGTCACTGGTGTTTGCCGTGAGCAGGAATCGAACTCGGATCACAGGGTTCGTAGCGAGAATTTCATCATCACTTGCGGCTGGGGTTTGTATCGTCCCCCACTCCTCCCGATGTCTAGGGGAAATGGGCGATGTTTAGGACTGTGGCTCATGCAGCTGCAATGGCTGCTTTGGGTACACGGTCCAGACCTCACCAGAGACCCTGGCTGACAGAGGAGGTGTTCAGGCAAGCTGAGAAAAAGCGACAGGCCCACTCATCATCTACAGAATCCCAGGTCAGAGAATGAGGAGGCTTACCGCAGTCTTCGCTCGGAAGTTCCGAGAGCCGTGAGGCGCTGCAAGGATGGTTGGTGGTCACAGGTTGCTGAGGAGATGGAGTCTGCCTTAATGGCCCGCGATCACAAATCGCTCTTTAACTCCATCAAAAAAGTAACCTGCAGCACCACACCTATTACCATCATTAGGGGAAAGAACGGTGATCCAATCTCCGACCCCCAGGAACAGGTTTGCAGATTTGCTGAGCATTTCTGTGAGGTTTTAGGGGAGGGGAAATCCCTCAGCCTGGAAAACGTAGGACAAAGTGGGGATGACCCTGCTGAGGCTGCGGTGCCTCAAATATGGGAAGAAGAAATCACTGGCTGAGGTGCTATTTGTTGAGGAAATACTGAGGGCGATCCAGAGCCTGAGACCAGGAAAGGCACCGGGCAGAGATTATCTCCCAAGCGAAATGCTGAGGGTGGCGTTTGTGCACGAACTGCCCTATATGACATCATAACAACAGTTTGGACCACTGGACGGGTTCCGCAGGATTGGAAGGATGCCCTGGTGGTCCTCTTTAAGAAGGGGGACTGCACAGACTGTAACAACTACAGGGGCATCTCACTCCTCAGTGTGCCGGGAAAGGTTTTTGCAAGGATTATTCAACATCGCCTTGCCAGGCACACTGAGGAGAGGCTTGCGGAGCCCCAACGTGGTTTCAGGAAAGGGGGTCCTGCATAGATCCCATATTTTATGTATGTCTGCTACAGCAGAGGTGTAGGGAATTCCAACAAGACCTACATCTCTGCTTTATTGACCTGGTCAAGGCCTATGATACCATCAGTAGGCCTGGGCTCTGGGTTGTTCTTCGTGCTTTCAGAGTCCCTGACCCTCTGCTCACGATCATTAAGGACCTTCATGATGGTGAGCGGGCCTGGGTAAAATTACGTGGCTGGGAGTCGGAGCCATTCCCTGTTCACCTTGGGGTGTGACAGGGATGTCCTCTGGCTCCCACATTATTTAACATCTATTTCGACCACGTAGTTCGTGAAGCCTTCAATAGCTATACCGGAGGAATTTCCATCTGGTACAGATACAATGGGAGGCTGATCGATGCTCGGGTGCGGTCAAGGGATGGCTCCCTATTGCTCAACCATGTTATGTATGCCGATGATCTGGTAATTGCTGCTCACTCTGAGGAGAAGTTGGAGGCACTGCCGCTAAACCTGAAGCTTGCCTTTTAGAGGTGGGGACTTACCACCAAAACTAAGCACCTGCCTGGGTATTTTGTACCATCGGAAACTCCACCCCCACAACTCCTAATTGGTGATATGGCAATTGTGGAGAGAGTGGAGAGTTTCCCATACCTGGGCAGTGTGCTCATGACCGGCTCCGGTTTGACAGCAGAGGTCTCAATCCGAATCAGTCGAGCGGCATTATCTTTTCATCGCATAACGCTGTGTGGAAACTACCTGGTCTGTCGCTCCGCACGAAGCTTCAGGTCTTCTCGGCCACAGTCATTCCCTCCCTTCTCTACGCTTGCGAAACGTGGACCCCCCTAATGGAACATCTTCGCCATTTAGAAACATTTAGGCTGGCCTGCCTACGATCCATCCTGGGTTTAACCAGGCTGGATTGTGTGAAGAGCTCACATATTCTTGAAAAATCTGGACAAAGTCACATCGGTGAGCTCCTCCGGCAGGCAAGGCTGCGTTGGCTGGGTCATGTAGCCCGCATGCCCAACCACCGCATGCCTGAACAGCTTTTGTTTGGCCGCATCGAGGGGGCTAAACGGGCGCGGCACGGGCTAGAGAAGAGATGGAGTGATGTGGTACAGGAGGACGTGGAGCTGAGTGGACTTGCCGATGACTGGTACCAGCGGTGTCAAGATCGGCCTCTGTGGAGGAGGCTCGTTAAGGACGCTACTGGGCAGTTGGAGGCAGTCGCCCTCCAACAACAACGAAGGGGAGAGCAGCGATGCTCACAACAACAAGCGGAGCGCCGGGTGGCTAAAGCACAGCAAGTTGGCACAGTAGGGGGCACAGGTGGTGCATCAGCAAGTCATCTCAATCAGTCTACCCGTGGCACCTGGGTCTGCCTCGTCACCTGCCAGCGGGCGTTTGACACCTCACGTGGCCTAAACCTGCACATAGCCTGGCACAAGCGTGGTGACGTCACCGCCACTTAGTGGCGAAATGCGGTTGTCATAGTATATAGGATTCACAATATAGATACGTGTTAAACTAGTATATAGGAGTATGTTTATGAGTTAATAAGTAGTATGTTCCAACATTAATACATCGTGCTGTGTGTGCTGTGTGTGTATGACTGAATTAGAGGCTGTGTGTGTTTGAGTGTTAATGACTTAGGAAGCTGTGTGTGTGATTGTTCGCGTTGGACATTGTACTATATGATTGTTGATAACCAGAGGCTGAATGTGTGTGTGAGTATTAATGACTTAGAGGCTGTGTGTATTAGTGTTGTGTGTGTGTGTACGTGTTGTAGTACATAGGGCTGTGTGCGTGTTGCTGACCCAGAGGCTGCGTGTGTGCTGCAGGCAGCTGGTGTTCTGTGCCCTGGCAGCACTGACGCAGGAGAGGAAGCCCCTGGCGTGCCTCGATGCGTTTGGAGCCACAGGTGGAGCCTGGTCAATGGCTGGGAGGCTTCAATGACTCATTTGACTAAATAGAGCACAGACAAAAACAATACCTTTGCTAACCATGCCTGGAGGTGGCTATTGCCACTCCCCCACCCACCCAACCACAAAGACAAAGATCCCCCTTATCGCCTTAACAGCCTGTTGGGATAAGTGCTGTTAGTAACCACCTATTCACCCCAGCACGGTGCACATGGGGGTGGGTGACCAGCTCCATGCCCGACCGCATTTGTTTCCTCGCACAGTGTGGTGACCACTACGCTACCGCTCCCCATTAAATCAATCACCTAAACACTCACCGACCTATACAATCAACTACCTACCCACTCATCCACTCGCCAACCAAACCACCCCCATACTCATCCATTAATTTATTCACTTGACCACCCACCCATTCACCCGCCAAGTGACCCGCACGTGTGCACACAGGGATCATGGGGCTGCAGTGGGCCAAGCACCTGGGCAACACGGTGCGTGTCACCATCAACGACGTGTCGGAGGCGTCCGTGCGCATGATGGAGGAGAACTGCCGCCTCAACGGGATGACGGTGACGGAGTCATGGCCGGACAGTGACGAGGGTGGCGAGGAGGTAGAGGGCGAGGCCGAGGACCGGCTGGTGGAGGTGACGCAGTACGATGCCAACGTGCTCATGCACCTACGTGCCTTTGACTACATGTGAGCACAACCGACTGTCGTGGGCACACACACAAAAATGACAAAGAACCCCCATACAGCCTCAACATACTGTTGAGGCAAGTGCTGTTAGTGAGCACCTGTGAAGGCCGGCAAGGAACACGAGGGGGTGGGTGGCCAGAACCATGGCCGGCTGCATTTGTCTCCCCAGTGGCAACATTTACACATCGCACCAGGTACTCATTTGAGGCCGAGTCGATCTAGGGGAGGCCCAGGACGGGTGCAGATAATCGTCACTGATGTTGACCGTGAGCGGGAATCGAACTCAGTTCGCCGGGTTCTTGGCGCAGCACGCTAACCACTACACTACCGCTCCCCCATCGCACTAACTCACACACAAATGCACCTCCACTCATGTACAACCGTACACACTTAACGCCTCGGTTTTTCCAACCAATATGATTAACGAGATTTTTGTCCTCACGTGACCTTAGAAAAAAAAATCACTTATTAGTTTAACATACACACGTTATGCATGCAAATGCCTACACACACTCGGATCTCTTAACGCACATGAATCATTGCCACCAAACCACGTCGGAAGCCGGACCTCTAACCCCATTCCCGTTTGCTCGACAGCCACCTGGACCCATTTGGCACGGCGGTGGACTACCTGGACGCCGCGTTCCGCAACGTCCGCAACCACGGTATCGTGTCCATCACCAGCACGGACCTGAGCTCGCTCTACTGCAAAGTGCCTAACGTGGCCCTGCGCCACTATCACTGCAACCTGGTGCGCACAGAGTACTACCACGAGCTCGCCGCACGCATGGTGCTCACGGCCGCCGTCAGGTAGTGCGGTCAAGCTCTGCGCTCGCGCGTACACACACACACGCACACGCGCGCACACGCACAAACGTCCCGTATAGCGGTGCGGAATGTGGGGAGCACTTGCCCTAGCGGTCTGTTAAAGGCTATGTGGGGGATCTTTGTCTTTTGTGCGTGCCTATGCAGGGCGGCCGGTCGCTGCAACAAGGGCGTGGAGGTGCTGCTGGCCGTGGCGCTGGAGCACTTTGTGCTGGTGGTGGTGCGGGTGCTGCGCGGGCCCGGCCACGCGGACGAATGCGCGCGCCGCCTGCGCCGCCTCGTGCACTGCCAGTGGTGCGAGGAGCGCGTCTTCGCTCCCGACTCGCACATGCTGAGCGGTACGCATCAGCGGTGCCATTCGCCCCTCCCACCCACATCGCTCGCCCCTTCCTCCCCCACCCCGCGTCCCTCGCCCCCTCCGCTTCACGCCAACGCGCCACCGCGTCGCCGCCTACCCATGCCGGCATCGTGGTTTGGCTCCGCTCGGTCAAGGCGAGCAGCGAGTAGACGCTTTTGGGCGTTTCCCACCAGGGTTGCTCTTCCTCAGTTCTCACAACCGCCCGTGGCTCGCAGTGCGGCGCTCCGTGATTGCCACGCGGTGCGCAAGCGGCCTCATCTGTGTATCAAAGAGCAAGATTGGTAAACCTAAGAAGGTGCATGTAGGGGGTTGTGAGGACTATGGGTCATGGCACTAGGCTTTAAGTTACAAAGTCAAAGTATTATTTTTACTGAAATGAACATTTGAGAACATTGAGTGGCACCGGGTGCTGTGGCTTGTGCATCACGTGCTGTCGCCATGTGTTCAGAAAACCCCTACAGTGTGCTGCCCTGCGACTGCCACAACAGCATGCCAGGACGCACCGCCATTGAGCTGGGCCCGATGTGGTGAGCATCACTCCCACCACACACCAGGGGGCTGGTGTGCCTGTCACCTTTGATATTTACACACTGCACCAGATACTCACAGTTTTATATTACAGCCAATGCAATGCTTTATAATTTCTAAATAGGTGTATGGATATCTTTCGCCAGGTAAGATCCAGCTGATATATAAATCTATTTTACAAAGACCTCAAAAGGTCATCACGGTCTCGTACCATTAATTTATTTTGCTATATACCTCAGCTGATGCGGAATTAACACCCACCCATCGATATCTGATGTTACAGTCGCCGTCCATCTGGCTTTATGTCTTCCCTTTAGTCTCAGACCTTTTGTTTTCCAAACTAATGTCTGTCTTGGGAACTTGCGCTCCTCTATCCTGCACGCACGCCTCGACCGGTCACTGGGACAACCTGAAGCCAGACGGTGGCATTCTTGAAGACCTGAGTTTGGTCTTAAATGTAGAGGTCGTGTATTGACTTTACACAACTACAGGATCTAGCAGAGGAAAAGAAGAGTGTTCACACGGTCCATCATACATTTGAGGTCAATACAATGAGTACCATTTTGTGATAGGTCGACATTGGTTGTTCTGTAGGGATTAGCCCCGACCATAGGAATTGTCAATAATAGCTCATGTCAACTAATGTGAATGAGTGCTGTCAAAATCTGTCCCAAACATGGATCCACTTAGATATACAACTCCACATTGCTGAAAACAACTCTCATTCCCTTCATCGACATCATTGTTAAAAAAGCAACTGAGTAAGCATGCCATGTGGGGCGCGGGTGGGTGTTGCAGTTACACTAAGCCCTGCTACATACTCCTGGCCTCCTTAGCACTCGCACAAATGCTTCTGGAAATTCATCGTTGCATGTCGCTGGTGTGTGTGTGAGTTTGTGTGTGGCAACGAATATCTCAACCGGCCCTGGGCCACCTATAGGCCGGCTCAGCCTTAAATGAGTACCTGGTGCGGTGTGTAAACATCATCACTGGGGAGACAAAGGCGGCCGGACGTGGCGCTGGCCGCACCTCCGATTTCTCGCACCTCCGATTAGCACGGTTGGCTTACGTACGGTGCAAAAAAAGTTCAACATTACATACACATATACATGGCCACCCACCGCCTTGTGCGCCGAGCAGGCCTTCATAGGCACCCGCTAATAGCACTTTTCCCCCTTATGGTCTGTGAAAGGCTGCACGCGGGGGATCTTTGCCTTTGTTCTTCATGTGCGTGTGTGGGGGGCGGGGCAGGTCCGGGAGTCTATTCAACAGCGGCTTCCTGCGGCGGATGCTGTTCGAGGCGGTGCAGCACGAGGTCGAGGATGTGCAGCCCCTGCTCAAGACGCTCGCAGGCGAAGCGGAGTGCACCAACGTCAGGAAGTACGCCCTCACCAACGTGGCCGCCCACACCAGCCAAGGTCGGTCTCTCGAGCTCAGCTATGAAGTTGCAGTCAACGTAAATACGGTGGTTCCTCGGTTTACGATGCCACCGTTTAATGATATTTCGACTAACGATCCGCCTCCCACAGGGTCCCATTGTTTCTATTCACAATACATTTTCGATTCACGATATTTTGCACGATATCACGACGCTGCCAATTTCGGCCAATCAGAGTGCTCCTAAATGGACTCGGCAGCAGACCTCAGCCAATTAATGATGCCCTTTTATGAGCGTTTTGAGAGCAACTGCCTTGCTGTCTTTTCAATGTTTGATGTGCGTTTGCTTATGGAAACAGCTCTCTTGAATAATTTGTGTTTTTTTAGTTTAAAGTTAAATAAGATAAATAACAATGGCACCTAAAATGAATGTGAAGAAAGACGAGAAAGTGAGGAACCTCGGGAGGTTCTAGTGGAAGGAGACTCTCCTTCCAAAAATTTAATTTCTCCCACCACAACTTGTTCATCAACCCCTGAAGCCATCCATCTTCTTAGCCTAAGGTAAAAATACAAATTATATGCTCTATTTATTCATTAATTATCCATGCTTCTATTAATACTTGAATACGTTCTTTTCATGTTTATTTATTAAAATTGCATGTTTTAATATTATAAACTATGTTTTTAGGGTGAAAAAGGTCAACTTCCGATCATCTTGGAACAAATGAAGCCTTTAGCATGTATTTTATATGTTTGATTCACGATAATTTAAATTAACGATTGTTTTCGTGGAACTAATTACTATCGTTAACCGAGGGACCACCGTATACAGAATGTATTTTAACTTTTAATGTTATATCAGAGTGGTCCTTATTGGATCAGGTTATACGTTTCATGATTTGGAATAGTTTAAGTTATTTGTTTACCTTTCCTATACTTGGCACTCCTGTCCTGTTTTTGTGTTGTTTGTTGTTGTAACGTTCTGACCCGCCCCTACTGGATATCTGTGAAAGAGCTTCATAGCTCATCGGATTCCTCCTGCAGTATAAATACAATGTTCTGATTCTGTTGTTGAATCATGCATCACTGAAATTGTGGCCTATCGAACGATGTTTAGGGGTCGCTACCATGGTCCTGCATTTAAATAAGGACCCTAAAATATCCAGACATGCTGTATATTGCATGTATGTGTATAGTTAATACGCATACACTTGTTTTGTTTTTTGCATAGATTTTATTGAAATTGTGGCTAGCCAGACTTTTGAGGGAACTGGATCTGGGCCTCCCCTCTTTTAGTCTGGCTAACCAAGGTTTTACTGTAAACAAATTAACAAAGTCCATTATGAATGCAAGATGTACTAAGTGCTAACACAATATTATTCTCCGTCACATTATCTGGTTGTACCCCATGTTGTTTTGCACGATGTCCGAACATTCTGCTTCCTCATGCTGGGAGCTTCTTCTTGGAATGAATTCGGTTCCTGAATAGCAGTGAAATGTTGGACATCATACCAAACAACACGCGGTACAACCCGAACGTGCATCCGAGCGCTAAAGAGCACAATCGCGAAAACCCAAGTTGTACGAAACGAATACATTAATAAATACATACATGCTGTTGATTCAGCTCCAAAAACAGATTCAATAAAGAAAACATTTAAGTCCACCAGCGTATGGACCGTGTGCACCACTGATTTTCAGCGGAGTGTTTGACAGGCCTGTAGCACACGAGCTGTAACTGTGTGGCGGTGAGCGTATCCGGTCGCCGTAGCCGCCGCTCATGTGTAACGTGCGGTGCCTGTGCTCGCAGAGGAGAGCGGCGTGGTGATCAGCACGACGTTGTCGGCACGGCCGACTTCCGAGGGCCTCGTCCACTCCTCCACCGACTCCATGGGTGAGGCTCCACGGCCGCCTGGTTACCTCCAGCCTGTGCGCTTCACCTCATTCGCAGCCGGGCGGTAGTGGCTACACACTCCTGTAATACGGCACTGTGGAGGCAGTGAGGGTTAGTGGATTGCATGAACTCCCAAACTCACTGGGGTATGAGGTAGCCATCTCCTGGCTTGCCAGGGCATGATAGTAGCACAGCAAGTTGTTTAATTTCCATCTGCATCTCATCTGTACGGGCATCGAGTGTTACCCCCCTAGCATGCGTGGGGTTTCTCCCGGTACTGCGGTTTTTAGGGGGGGCCATGTGAATCATTCAGAGGAGGGGAAGAAAACCACATGAAGGGATAGGGTGGGGATATATATTTTTTTATAATCGTGGAGTGTGTGATGTAGGTGAATGTAGAGGAGTCTCGAACAGGCGGATAGCTTCAGCAGTGGTGGAAGTGCCAGACATTGGTGGCAGCAGGATTTGAGGAAAGCTGAACGCAAGGCAGTCACAGCTGACATTTTGGAGAAAAAAAATTCTGTCTTAGCCATGACAATTGGTGAAAAAGCTGTTTCTTTCAATCAATCACCCAATATTCAAGTCTCTTTTTCAAGGGTTTAAACTGCAGGATAATAATCGTGACTTCCCACACAGTGGAACTCTCTTTCTTGATCCCAAATAAGAGGATAGACCCCAACGAGGATTTAATCTCGCAAATTTTCAATATTGATTTGAGTTGCCACATGCAGTGCTGCCCAGGCAGGTGTTAGGGCATTAGCGGCACATAAACATGTGCTGTGGACCAAATTTGGCAGCATGAGGTCCTTGGCACAGATGTTTTGTTTGGATGTGTGCAATTTACAGCACTGGCTTTAAGGTCACCAATGCAATTTCCAGCACACACCTCAAGCCTGTTTGAGCTCCAGCACTCTCTCGCTTTTGTTATGGTACGCGATTTTGGTGACTTTGCGGATATAAGATACCGTGTTGATTTTATAAAAGCGGAGGAGATTTTGCTAACTGAAGCCACACTCGTGCGCGGTGTCCTGTCAAGCTGGCCATGGCCTGGTTCTTAGGTTCTTCATGTAAATGCGCAGTCCCTGCTTGATCTGTTCTTTGCAGGTAAGAGACGGTCGGAGGAAGCGGCCGGAGGTGCCGGCAAGAGGCAGCGCGGAGACGGAGGCTTCTCCACTGAACATCCGCCGTTCTACTACAGCATCCACCGGCACAGCATCAAGGGCATGAACATGCCAAAGTGAGTGCGCAGCAGTCTCCCACAAGTCGGCAAATTAGCAAACGTTGTTTTGAGAAATGCTCTTCAGAGCTACTCCTTCGGGATGGCCATGGCGAGCGTTCGCCACCAAGCGGCTCCAGTGTTAGAGGCCAAGCCAGAGGCGAGGCGTGACTAAGCATATGGCCCTTAGTGGCGATAGCTAATTGCTATCATAATGGCGATACACAGTACCCCTGAGCCGCCACCGCTCAGGGCTTTGTTGTTGTTACTTGAATTGTCCTCGTGCCGCCCTATGAGTGACGCCGAGCCTGGTCCCCAACCCCCAGGCTCAACCACTTTCTGGCCAGCCTGACGGAAGCCGGCTTCCGGGCGAGTCGCACGCACTTCGACCCGACCAGCATCCGCACGGACGCCACGCTGCCGCAGATCAACGCCGTGCTGGTGCAGCACAGCCGGCCCACGCACAGCCAGCACGCGCATGGCCTGCCCGTGCCCCCCGTGCAGCCCGCCAGCAGTTAGCCCGCGCAAGTGAGCAAGCACGGCTGGTGTACGCACGCCATGTGCGGGGTAATAGATGGGCAAGAGTGTTTGGCAATGCAGCCGGCCGTGCGCATGCAGCCTGTGCGCAGCCTAGGAGGGATACACAGAGCAGATAACGCACACGTGTGCATGCACAGCGAGCATGCCGTAGAGGATATGCAGTGCACTCGCAAAGCTGGGAGCACGCAGCTCGTCATTTTACACGGAGAGCCAGCGTGCAACTACGTCAAGAGACGTAAACGATCACTATGCAGCTACCGTTTATAGACAAACAACACAGTCGCAGCATAACCATACCTAGGTGTGTAGTTAAACACAGACAAACCTATCCTGTTTATCCTATGGGACTATCGGGGAAAAGTCATTTTTGTGATCATCTCATTAGGACCAGTATGGAACATGAGGAGGAGGGCATAGCCAGCAGCAACACTGTCGTTTATTTATCAAGAAAAACTTCAAAAAACCTTAAGAGAGAGACCCCTTTTTAGAAGTGTCCCCCTGCATTGGGACATTGGGATAATTTCATCAAGGAGTGTTTAATGCTCCTGGCTAGAGTTACATCCCCACTGGCGGCACTGACAAACACCCCACCACGTACTCATTCTTTGGACAAGTTAGAGACTCAGGCCAGGATAAAATATCAATTTCCAGTGGTGTTTTAATTTGCTAAGAATTTAACCTGAGTTTCTTAGACTGTAGCTATTATGAGCTATTCGTGTGCTCCCAATCCCAAAACGTGTAACATTTGTTACATGCGTCCATTCGCACAATCATAACGCGCAACTCTTAACAGCATCACCACCTCTGTAACGTTTATGTTGATTGGTGCAACTATTGTAGCATCGCCGTCTTTTTACAAAATGTGTAGTATTTAGAGAGAAAATAAGTCCGGTTCATTCAGGTAAATGTAGCGTTTATTCTGACACATTGTTGTTTTACATTGTTTTAGAAATGCATCCACACCGAGTAACAGACGCCTTGACAAACGTGCGTTGCTAACGTGACCAATAATAGTCCAATACACCTAACCGTGGGTGACCCTTATGTCGGCCTTTGGAAACGAAACTGGATAAAACGTGATACGTTGGTTATATGTAATTTATTTTGCACACAACATGGTGGGTGAAGTGTTGTTTTAAAAAAAAAAATATAACCACTTTGCGGTGGGTGATAGTGGTTTCCACATCTCCCATTGTGATTGGAGGATATGAAACACGCATACGCTCATGATCACAAATGGGCAGGAGTCGGCAGAGTTTATTTTTCTGTCGACCTTGTCTATTGCCCCTTCAGTTGGAGGGCGAGCGTTGTGGAAATCCATCCTGCTGTCAACATTGACATTTTTTTGTACAAATCTTTGATGAGGCTGCACGTTGACAATGCACGATTAACAAATATACTAAGTCATGTCAGATTTAGCAGCTGAGCCGGAGTGTCTTGGTGTTTTTATGATTTAACGTTTTGCTCTGGTTAAGTGTACGTTGTTTTCTACTGACTGAGACGAATATGAATGTAACAAGTTTTTCTTTTTATTTCGGTTGCAACGTGTTTGAAGCTTGGCACATTGTAATATTAATGGACAAGCGCTAAACATAGTAAACTGTTTGCATGATTATCAGCATTCGGTGCATCAATACAAATTTTCTAAAAAGGAGAAATCGAAGTAAAATGAGCGAAGTAGCCATGAAAACTGAAACCACCTCATTGTGGGCAAATTCTCTTGGGGTTACGATTAGCACGGTTAGCTACGTACGCTGCGAAATAAGTTCACCATACATACATTGACTTATGGCCATAGTAAAAGTCCTTTATTGCTTTCACGTAAGCACGTGTGAAAACAAAACATGCACAGATATATTCAGTGAGGATCGATGCTCGTTGAGTGACCAGAGAAATTATATTGAAGCCTCGAGTGAGCAGAGTTAACGCGCTTACGTTTCTTCATTATTAGCCTGGATCAATCCGCTGCTGGATAAAGGCACGTGAACTGAATTTAATTAATTGTTCCAGCTCCTCGGTGTACGTTTTTCTCGGACGTTTCCATCCCTTAGCTGCCACTTCATTATCATTCTTGACCGTCGTTCATCATCTTTTCTAGCGACGCGTTCTGCCCTCGGAACAATGTTGATTTTTTTTGTCGATGATGAAACCTGTGAATACATAGTAGGTGCACACACGGGCTTGGTGCTGAGCCAGTAGCAGCCAGCAGTTGTGTAAAGGTAATACAATTAAAGTACATTCGAACTATTATGCATATCGAGGTGGGGTGCAAACTTCACGGATTTAATTTCTAACCAATAACCACCGGCAACCATTCCCTCGTAGAACACCACCCCCTCCACCCTTCCCCAGACTTTGCAAAGCGTGGCAGAGTCCCGGCTTGGAAGCCATCAGAGCATGTTGCTGCTACTGTTGCTGCGCAGGGCGCTGAGGATGTCTATGGGGATGGGGAAGATGATGGTGGAGTTGCGCTCGGCCGCGATGTTGTTGAGCGTCTGCAGGTAGCGCAGCTGCAGGGCGCCCGACGACTCCCCCAGCACGATGGCCGCCTCCTTGAGGGAACGCGACGCGTTCATTTCCCCCTCCGCCGACACAACCTGCCAGTACACGGGAGGCGTGAGACAACGGGTCCGTTTTGACTAGAAATACGAGGTAATGGTCTGGCCCTGCGATTTCTTGGGTCATACCACTGCTTGGCAGAAACAGCAGCACCCCTCCCACTGAGTACAATTGACCCATTATTCTACACTGGTTAGACGACTTTTTTTAGTGCCCATACTTTACTCCAAACATGCGTAACCTGCCGATGAAACTGTGTATATGCATTTAAGCTGCTGGGCGGACGGAGGAAGAGCAGGGTACTTGCCCCATTGTTTCGACTGCTGCGCAAGGAGCTTGAATCGAACTGGCGCCTTCTGGATTGGGAGTCTAGTCTGCTAACCATTACAACCACGAAAGCGTCCTGACAATTGAGAAATGGATGGCCCCAGAAATGAAGAGATCAAGCAGACGAGAATGGTGCCCATCTCATACAAGCCGAAAAGAGTCGAAGCAAGACGGCCAAGGCATTTCATAATAAAAGCGGGAAACCAAATTGGAAGAAAAGTGGTGAACATGGAAGCCCCAAGGTGGCCTAGAATGAGGTGGTTTAAAGTGGTGAGCCGAGATATGAAGGAATGTTGGAGTGGATGGGGAGATGGCCCAGGACAGAAATGAATGGAGAAAGAGAAGCAGGATGACAGCAGACCCCCGCATGAGTAGGACAAACGGTGAAGGTGATGAAGCTTCGAGGGCCCCATCGCATTATCAGAGCAGCCAACATAGACAGCTGCCTACGAAAATAACAGGGTTGTGGTTCACACAGCATTGAGGAGTGGCATGGAACATTGTTCTAGTGTAGAGCCCATTACACCCCTAGCCCAAGGGGATGATGTATCGGCTCGCCAAGCCGGGCGGTGTTACCTTGGCACGCGCCTCACGGATCGCCTCTGCCTCAGCTGCCATGGCTCGCTGCATTTGCGAGGGCAGACGCACGTCCTTGATCTCTACACGCTGCACCTTGATGCCCCAGGGCTCCGTCGCCTCATCGAGACTGGTCTGTGGGGTACGATAATAAGGGTGGGTGACATAACCCAGCGCGATTACTACTACCACGTTGGTTTTTTAAGGTTTTACAGCTTGCCGAACAACACTCGCTACAACACAAAAACACATCGGAGAAGTCATCGCTGTTAATTAAAAAACCAGCACTGGCCACAGTTGGTCCTGGGTCAAGTAAAGTTGCTGCCGTTGCAAACGATAAGTCGATGGGTGGTGCCTCATCTCCATTTACGACCCTGAGTCAGTGGTGAACATACCCTTCCTTCTCTACAGCGTGGTGGCTGTTGTCTCCCGCGGAGTGGTACCTACTCTAAACAACCCTGAAGCGATCTAGTTGGAGCTGAGATGACCCCTAACTGGGATTTCAGGAGCACTTCAGTATGCATGGCACTCGTGGTTTTTAACAGTAAAAACACGATATATAGCAATCAGTTATTTACTATTTTTAAAGTCACAGTTCCAATATTAAGCATGTTGCATTACATCAAGTTAAGCGAATGATATTTAACAATTGACAGCACACACAAAAAAAACTCAACACCTGTGTCAATAACAGTGCCTTTAAAAAAGTGATATAATTGGACAAAAATGATCAATTCTTCAACAGAATCATAACCCCTTATTGTGATGAGCCGTAAGATGACTGGGAGACAGTGATTTTGTTGCATGTCCACAATTAAGAGTGCTGCATTTCTTTGTATGCAGGTGACGTTCAGTCTGCCTCCATACTCTCATCTCTATTGGTGACCCGAAGCCAGCGGTGGGAACTGTGCCGAAGGCCCCTCTGAATGCGTTTACATTTCTGCATCCTATTCTGTTTGTGTGCATTTGGGACCGTCAAGGGGCTTAGTCCGTGTCCTATTCCTTTAGATCAGCTGGCCATTGTAATAAGAATGGTAATAAGTGACTCGCACAAGTTTCACTTGCCCGAAGGCAGCGACGCTGATGCGTGGAGCCCAGATCAGAGATCAGCTCAGTTCAAGTTAAATAAAAAAAGGTTTTTTTTAGAAGGCGCTTAAAGGTAGGTAGTAGACTTTCCTGAACTATTTTGACTACTTTTGCCCATTTTCCCTGCTCGTTTAATTAACATGAACACGTGATGACAGATCCCCAAATGAAATTCGATTCTTACTCAAGATCGATGCATGTTTTATAATGAAATAATGCACTTTAGTTGATAATTTGATGCATCCTTAAATGCCTGGTAATTGTAGCACTGTAAATAGACAAATGCACGCGATCTCAGTCAATCCACTGCTGGATGAAGGCCTCCCCACTTTGTCGGTCGTGGGGAATTGTTTGACCGTACTTCACCACGCTGGTCATTATGGGTTGGTGAAGAAAGTGGCCCAGGACCCAGTTCAGATATCACTCGCTCCCGATGTCAACCGAGGCTGGGAGTTAAAAGTGAGGTCGTTGGGTTCATGGTGCAGAGTGCTGAGCACAAAGATAACAGCACGGGCACAGCCAAATATACGTTCCGCGGCCTCTACAATGGGAAGGCATAGGTTGCTGCTGGCCTCCAACCACTGCAATGTGCCATAGCTCTCTGCAGCACCAGGGGGCCAAAGGGGCTGACCGCCCCGCCCCTGCCGGCCCCCCACATGGCTAAAGCCTCAGCTCACCTGCCCCCCCCCCCCACTCCCACCAAGTTCGTCTGGTCGTCAAACAAAAATGTTGGTTCAGAATGATTACAATGTACATCGCCGCCGCTCCTAATACGCATGGCCGGCGAGAGCTCGAGCCGAGTGCCCTGGACACACTTGGACACGAGATGTTCCATCTCCAGCGCTCGTCCATGCGAATTGTTCCAGTAAACGATAAATGTTTTACATGGCTGCTCATCATCTTGAGCGTTTAACATTTGTTTTAACGTTTGCATATCGTTGACTGTGCCACGCGCTCCCAAAGTTGTTCTCACGCTGCGGTTCACGATGGATTGAGCTACAACAAGGAAGGTGGGTGGCAAGGAGGCTCCTGGTGGCATCGGTGACTTTCGGAGTGGAAGATGGGAGCCCTCTTGTTCAGTGACAAATCACGGCGAATGCCATCGGCGTGGCGAGCGAACATCGTCCTGTCTCCCCGGTCTCCAGAGCAGCAGCAGCAGCAGCAGCAACAACGCGAGCCGAGGCTTTGAGCGCCGATGACCTTCGCGACTTGGAGGCGTGCACCTGCATGCTGCGGGCGATGACCTCTCGCTCCGACACGATGTCGGAGAGGCTGCGGGTGCCCAGCACGTTGCGCAACGCCGTCTGCGCGAGCAGTCGCGTGGCGCCGTCTGCGAACACCACGTTGGTGACGGCCGCGGTGGCGTCGTGCACGCGGTAGTAGACCACGGCGTCCACGGCCACCGTCACCGAGTCCCGCGTCAGGATCTGTAACGAGGCGGGCGAGGCCTTCGCCTTGAGCCGTCGTGGCCGAGGGGGTGGCGACGCCGCGCTGCTCATCTGCGCCACCGCGGGGGGGGGGGGCAGTCGGAGTGTCTGCCGCGCGGTTTACGTGGTTGTGGATTCCAGCGCATCGAGCAGACGGATGCACAGGGGCACAAAGGCGAAGGTCCCCCACATAGCCTTAACAGACTGTTGGGGGCATGTGCTGTTAGCGAACGCCTATGGCGCACGAGGGGCTGGGTGGCCAGCACCCCGCCACCTTTGTCTCCCCCAGTGGCGACGTTTTTACACACCGCACCAGGTACTCATTTGAGGCCGGGTCGACCTAGGGGAGGCCCAGGACCGGTTCAGTTAATCGTCGCTGGTGTTGGCCGTGACTGAGAATCGAACTCAGGTCGCCAGGTTCGTAACGCAACGCGCTAACTGCTACACTACCGCTCCCCACACACACACACGTGCAGCATGCACGTCGTCGAAAGCCGTGGGAACTTGGAGCCACGTTCTTTTAGTCGTGATATATTTCAAGATTCAGATTGCATCGGCAGCGCCAGGCAGTTGACGCTGGTTGTAACTACGGACCCAGCACAACGTTGTACCCAATTGTTACAAGAGTGTGGATTGCTCAACACAGCGATGCTATTGAAGCGGTAAAAACTAGGAACATTGGTTGACGTGAAAACTTTCTGAATTGGCTGAAGGAGGGTGTGCGACGCACATTATGCGATCTGACTCAAAAATTAACTATGAATCATATTGGTCGTGAATGCCTGTGTGTTAAAACCACTTTTTAGTTCTGGAAACAGTGTCAGGAAACTGGGTTAGTCACACATAGAGGGAGACTTAAGGCTCCATAATTTTATTAGGGGCATTAGAGTGGCACCCCACGTAAATGTTTACTGGCATTTTAAAAATGTTTTTTGTGGGGTTTTTTAAATAAATAAAAAACACGAAAAAACATTGTTTAAAAGATAGTTTAGCAACGTAACACGAGTTGAAAATGTAAGTAGTTCTCGTCTTTTTTTTATCTACAGTATTCGATAGAACCAATTGAATAAGAATTGACCTTGAGTCAATTTAAAGTATATATGGGGGCGTGGGGTGCTTCTTCTCGCCCTCGAGAGAAATGGGATCTCATTGGTCGATTCAACCCCCCTCCTCTCATCAAAACGATTTGAGCCGCCAGCCGAGGTGGAAGCCTCCTTGCTGACTCAAGAGAAGCAGAAACCGGGCCGAGCCTCACCTCCTGGGGTGGAACATCAAACGTGACCGTCCTCATGTCCACCTTCACGAAGGTGTCTATGCAGGGCAGCACCAAAAACAAGCCTGGCGCAGGGGGAGGAATTAAACAACCGGATGCATTTCAATGACAATCCTCGCACAGCATTGTTTAAGAGAGTTTATTCTCAAACGTGATTGCTTTGTCAATTATCGCGGCTGAATTTTACTCCTGAATGGTGTGTACAGTATATTATGCAGTGACTTGTGCCAATCGGTTATCCATGTATATTTCAACAGTCCTGGGCTTGCTTTGGTCAAAGTTCAATGACTAGGGAATCTTGCACTCACATTTTGATATTATAGTCGACTAGGTTCGTTCACCTCCCTCCACTGGCTTCTCATCGCCAGCAGGGTCAGCTCCAAGATCGCCTGCCTCTGCCACCGCGCCTCTACTTTCGCTCGTCCACCGTGTATCTCTCTTCGCTCTCCCATCACGACGTCTCACGGTGGAAGTCTCCTCAATAGCAGCAGCGGCGCTACTCGCGGCCTCTTCCTCACCCTCCTCTCCCGCTGTCTGCAATGGGGCCATCATCCCACTTCGCATTCGCGGCAGCGTTCAATCTGCGCCGACTTTTTGAGCACCACTGAGCTGGGGCCAGTGCCCTGAAGAGTCACGGTCATTTATATCCGTTAAATATTGTGCGCTAAGTATGGCAAAAAACCAACACTCGTGTCAGACACATCGTGCGGAGGCCTTCATCCAGCAGTGGAGTGAAAAGGGGATGTAAGCTATGTGTGTTGCCTCTTTGTCATTAAATCTGAAGCGCGCTCGTATAACGTGTCAAAGTGTTTCTCAGTGGAATGACTAAGGCTGTTCATGATGACGATTTCCACTTCCAAATGCGACTGAGTGAATGTTGCACTACTCAGCCGCTGCTCTAAACTTTTCCACTCTCTGAAGGAGATTTGGAGCCTGATTCATGTCCTCGTGAAATAAGTTTCCTCCATTTGTTGGATGGAAAAGCATCCACATTTTTATTTTCCTTTGGATGTGGCTGTTTGATTTTTATTTTTAAAAAAAGCCCTTTACGCCAATGCATGAATCGGGCTGTTCGTATCTTGAAGCATATTTAATATTATGGTGATGAAACTGCAACAGGGATTTCATATGTAGAAAATGTACGTGTGTATGTTGAACTTCTTTCGCACTACAGTGAGGGAAAAAAGTATTTGATCCCCTGCTGATTTTGTACGTTTGCCCACTGACAAATAAATTATCATTCTATAATTTTAATGGTAGGTTTATTTAAACAGTGAGAGACAGAATAACAACAACAAAATCCAGAAAAACGCATGTCAACAATGTTATGAATTGATTTGCATTTTAAGGAGGTAAATAAGTATTTGACCCCTCTGCAAAACATGACTTAGTACTTGGTGGCAAAACCCTTGTTGGCAATCACAGAGGTCAGACGTTTCGTGTAGTTGGCCACCAGGTTTGCACACATCTCAGGAAGGATTTTGTCCCACTCCTCTTTGCAGATCTTCTCCAAGTCACTAAGGTTTTGAGGGTGATGTTTGGCAACTCGAACCTTCAGCTCCCTCCACTGATTGTCTATGGGATTAAGGTCTGGAGACTGGCTAGGCCACTCCAGGACCTTAATGTGCTTTTTCTTGAGCCACTCCTTTGTTGCCTTGGCCGTGTGTTTTGGGTCATTGTCATGCTGGAATACCCATCCACGAGCCATTTTCAATGCCCTGGCTGAGGGAAGGAGGTTCTCACCCAAGATTTGACGGTACATGGCCCCGTCCATCGTCCCTTTGATGCGGTGAAGTTGTCCTGTCCCCTTAGCAGAAAAACACCCCCAAAGCATAATGTTTCCACCTCCATGTTTGACGGTGGGGATGGTGTTATTGGGGTCATAGGCAGCATTCCTCCTCCTCCAAACACGGCGAGTTGAGTTGATGCCAAAGAGCTCCATTTTGGTCTCATCTGACCACAAAACTTTCACCCAGTTGTCCTTCGAATCATTCAGATGTTCATTGGCAAACTTCAGACGGGCATGTATATGTGCGTTCTTGAGCAGGGGGACCTTGCGGGCGCTGCAGGATTTCAGTCCTTCACGGCGTAGTGTGTTACCAATTGTTTTCTTCGTGACTATGGTCCCAGCTGCCTTGAGATCATTGACAAGATCCTCCTGTGTAGTTCTGGGCTGATTCTTCACCGTTCTCATGATCATTGCAACTCCACGAGGTGAGATCTTGCATGGAGCCCCAGGCCGAGGGTGATTGACAGTTCTTTTGTGTTTCTTCCATTTGCGAATAATCACACCAACTGTTGTCACATTCTCACCAAGCTGCTTGGCAATGGTCTTGTAGTCCATTCCAGCCTTGTGTAGGTCTACAATCTTGTCCCTGACATCCTTGGAGAGCTCTTTGGTCTTGGCCATGGTGGAGAGTTTGGAATCTGATTGATTGATTGATTGCTTCTATGGACAGGTGCCTTTTATACAGGTAACAAGCTGAGATTAGGAGCACTCCCTTTAAGAGTGTGCTCCTAATCTCAGCTCGTTACCTGTATAAAAGACAACTGGGAGCCAGAAATATTTCTGTTTGAGAGGGGGTCAAATACTTATTTCCCTCATTAAAATGCAAATCAATTTATAACATTTGACATGCTTTTTTCTGGATTTTTGTTGTTATTCTGTCTCTCATTGTTCAAATAAACCTACCATTAAAATTATAGACTGATCATTTATTTGTCAGTGGGCAAACGTACAAGATCAGCAGGGGATCAAATACTTTTTTCCCTCACTATATATGTAGCAAATCGTGCGAATCGGAGGTGCAGGGCAAGGGCAAGAAATTGATAGTCACGATTGGTTTTTAAATCAATCTAAATCTGCAAAAAATCATTCTCGATAGCAACAAAATGCATGTTCGTGCGACGTAGAGCGCCCACGCTGTGTTTTGTTCATGGATGATCCAGGATGAGGCCATGCTGGACGGTGCTGCCACGCGGACCTCACCGTGGCGTGTGCTCGGATTGTCCGACGCGACCGACGATTTCGAGGCAAACAAACCTGGCCCGATGGCTCCTCCAGGCAATAACTTGCCCAGGCGAAAGACCACGGCCCTCTCATACTCCCTCACCACCTGCCGATCGACGAAGAGACAATACAAATCAGTCCAGTCCTGCTTCAGGGTTTGTTAAGTACGCGGGGGTAAAGCGAATGACTATTCTGTTGTTTCACTGCCGATGTCTGCTCACCATAATAGGGCTTCAGGAGAGAGTTTGTGTAGTTTTGCTATTCCTCTTCCGTAGAAGGGGAGCGCAGGCTACAGTGGTTTCCTGTATGGTCCATGGTTTCAGGGCCACAGTCGCACTGTGACTCGTGTCTTTAATTGCACATTCATTAAGGACATGTGTGCATCGGCGTTTTGATGTTCTGGTGCGGTTGATGGTTACATCAGAGTCTCTTTGAGGAATGGCAACGCCAGGAGGTATTTGGGTCTTGAATGCAAATGCCTGTCTCATCTGCACGGTGGAAATGTGTGCACACTGTGTGCATGTGGTAAGCTATGGGGCCGTTCATAAATGACGTCACGCACCTGGGGGGGGGGTCAGACATTTGTGACGATGTGTGACGAGGGGGTTGAGAAATGTGACGTCACATCAAAATGCGCAACTTTAAATAAATATAGACAACACGTTCTATTTAATTAAATAGACTTTTGAATAAATGTTTTCTCCTACAACATCAGAGTACAGCACCACATTAAATACGCACTACAATGACAATATTCTAGATTTGAAGTTTTCGTGACTGCACAATGATCCATTCTCTTTGGTTCTTTAGGTAAAGTCACGTAGGTTAAAGTAATAATAAATAAAAATCAAATCAAATCACGACGTTCCGGAGGCAACACAAGCTTCCTTCATCAGGTGTAAAAAAAGGGCACAGCAAAATAAGTGTAGAGAGAGCTATTTGTGATGATAGACTGTTATAGAGGGTAAGAGGAGGGGGAGGAGCCAGGGAGGACGGGTGCAGGATGGGGGTGGGGGTTGGGGTGTGGGTGGAGCCAAGAAGGTGAAGCTACTGGAGAAGCTCGGCACCACGGATGGGGGGGGGGGACGCGGAGCGGGGGAGAGTCGCAGTTGAGGTTTAACATGGTTTATCACTTCTTTCCAATGATTGCTTAATTTGAATCCATCTTCTCGGTTGAAGTTATGGCTATGTTTGTCTATCTGGATGGCCTCATGGACAAACCTTTGGTGGTACCCAGACGGCTTGCAGAGCACCTTGGTCTCAGAAAAGATAATATCATGAGAGCCCACAGCATTGTAATAATGATCAGCAACGGCGGAGGAATTCGTCCTGCCGTGTTTCAAATCTGCCTTGTGCTCGCGGACACGGTCAGAAACATGACGTTTCGTTTCGCCAATGTAACAATCACCACAGATGCAACTGAGTTTGTAAACACCAGGGTATTGCAAGTCAGGAATGACATCTTTCACAGATGAGATTAGATCCCGGATTTTGTGTACTGTACTTAATCGGACCTGGATCTTGTGTTTGTTAAAGGTTTTGGAAATCTTTTTGGTAATGCCTGCTATGTATGGTAACGTGATGGTTTTGATCGGAGTCTCAGGGGGTTGTTTCTCCATGGTTGGAGAAACAGCTTTGCGGATAGTACGGTCAGAATATCCATTCATCTTAAGGGCCAGGTGTACGTGTTCCAATTCACTGGCCAGGTGGTGTTGGTCAAAAATGCAGTGGGCCCTATGGTGTAGTGTTTTGATTAAGGAATTCTTCTGTGCCGGATGGTGGTGGGAATCAGGTTTCAGGTAGGAATCTGTGTGGGTGGCCTTCCTATAGACAGAATGTCTCAAGGAACCATTGGACCTCCTCTCAAACAGAACATCCAAGAATGGTAGCTTCAAGGACAATGCATATATAATCATAGTGTGTTTTTTGTTTGCATTTTGACCACAAGTATTGTGGTTAATGCACACATGATTCCTTGTAAAAGGTTTCAGTTTTGTTGCCAGAAAAAAGGGAGAAAAACCCTATTATTACGTTCCAACCGAGTTTGTTAGAATTTTTAGGATAGCTCATGGATGGATCCGCGACCGACCTTGAGGCAGAACCAGACGGAGAGAGGGAATGTCAAGACGACGACGACCATAGACAGAATGCCAAGCAGCTTCTCGCAGCATCCTGCCGTCTGCAGCCTCTTGTCATCGCTGTCCCCTGCGCGACACAGAGAGCCCATTTGTTAAACGGAACTGCTCATCATTCACTCGCGTACACGTCTTCCTCCTTATCCTATTGAATTCACGAAAGTAAAATGCCTTGACTTTCTCTTGACCACTCACGGAGCCCGGTGCTTTTGCTTTACAGCTATTTAATGATACATTTCATGATTGCGAATGTCTGGGCGTGACAGTTGCCATTGGTTGCAGAGGTTGTACGTACAATAATTAGAAAGAGTTTACCACATAGTGGCAGTGGAGTAATGAAATTTGGCAAAGTCATTGCAGTAGAGTATGCCGGATATCCAAGTCACGTATCCGCCCCGTTCAAATAACGGCCCACACCCAGTGTAGTATTTGTGCATGTTGTGTCATCTTCTATATATGATTATATATAGAAGATGACACTTTTCATACATCGTCTATACCTCAGTCACCAGTGAGTCCCTTAACATCGTAGATCGTCCTTCAAAACATATACCGAGACAGAAGAGTCGTGCTGGATACAGTCACATTTTCAAAAATGTGATTAGCAACGTTGATCTTTACCTGTGTATCGATATTTAAATGTTTATGTTCCATTTTATTGAGGGACTGAGTGTTACAGTATCTTGGTGTGGCCTGGGACTGGTTTTTTTTGTTGTTGTTGCCTTGCCCAAGCTTGATAAATCGTACTTATAGATGTCATTTATTATTCTAGATTTGAAGTTTTCGTGACTGCAAGGATCCATACTCTTTGGTTCTTTCGGTAAAGCCAAGAAAGTAAAAATAAAATAATTAAATTAAACAAAATAAAACAAAAATGAAAACAACTAAATCAAATCACGACGTTTCGGAGGCAACACAAGCTTCCTTCATCAGGTGTAAAAAGCACAGCAAAATTATTGTACAAATAGCTCTCTCTACAGTAATTTTGCTGTGCTTTTTTTACACCTGATGAAGGAAACTTGTGTTGCCTCCGAAACGTCGTGATTTGATTAAGTTGTTTTAATTTTTGTTTGAGCATATTTAATTATTTGTTTTTCCACTACGTGCCTTTACCGAAAGAACCAAAGTGTATGGATAATTTATTATTGATTTATATTTAGTGACTTGCTTACATTTTTCTCTGTTTTGCACTCCCATCGTTTTTGTAAGTATTGTTTGGTTAAATTTTGATTTAAAGCTTTCGTGACTGCAGGGATTCATATTCTTGGTTCTTTCGGTAAAGTCACGTAGAAGGAAACAAAATAAATAAAATAAAAAAAAATATGAAACAATAAAATTCTCACGACGTTTCGATTGCAACACAAGCAATCATCATCAGGTGTGAAAACCACAGCAAGAAAATTTGCAATAAACTGCGTCTATAAATTTAAAAAACGCCACTTTTTTCAAAATTTCTTGCTGTGGTTTTCACATCTGATGATGATTGCTTGTGTTGCAGTCGAAACGTCGTGATAATTTTATTGCTTTATATATTTTTTATTATTATTTTATTGTTTCCCTTCTACGTGACTTTACCGAAATAACCAAGAATATTGTTTGGTTGTTGTAACTTGTTGACCCGCCCATGCTGGACATCTGTAAGAAAGTTCTCCATAGCTCATCGGATTCCTCCAGTCTAAAGAAATATTCTGATTCTGAGTGGGATATGCTACGGATTGTGCAATGCTTTAATAGTGAATACCGAATTAGTGCACTGTGCAAGGCTTGGCTTGCTCCACCATGCATCCAGGAGGAGTTGGTTCAGCTACACCAGGCGTCGGCAACCTTTCAAAGAAGAAAAGCCACTTTTCGTGTTTTTGTTTTTGACCAAAATAGTTCCGAGAGCTGCATCACACGCAGAGCGAGTTGTACACAAAAACACACACACGGCAGATATACACACGGCAGATGACAACACACATTCTCACTTAAACAAAATAGGTCATGCAATAAACTGCGTCTATATAAATCTTGACTTAAAAGCTTTCGTGACTGCAGGAATTCATATTATTTGGGTCTTTTGGTAAAGCCGCGTAGATAGAAAAAATGTAATAAAATAATACAAATAATAACAATATCACGACGTTTCGATCGCAACACACCTGATGACGATTGCGATGGAAACGTCGTGATATTGTTAATATTTTTATTATTCTTCTTTGGTTCTTTCGGTAAAGCCGCTTGTGTTGTGGCCGAAACGTCGTGAGAATATTATTGTGTTATTTTATTTGATCAATTTGTTATTTTATTCTCATTCTACGTGACTTTACCGAAAGAACCAAAGAAGATGAATCATTGCAGTCACGAAAGCTTTAAATCGAAATTTTTATTATTATTTTATTATATTTTTTCTATCTACGTGGCTTTACCGAAAGACCCAAAGAATATGCGTCTATTTAGTTATTCTTTAACAATAATAGACATTTTGACTGTACACTTTGTCATCACCAAGACATTCCATCGTGACCAATTCCCTGCCGTATTGAATACATTATCTTGTTATATATATTTTATTATTTTGTTGTTTCCCTTCAACGTGACTTTACCGAAAGAGCTAAGAATATACATTATCTTTACGTTAAATTATGTTTAATATTTAAGTTAAAAGAAAAAACGGCTGCCCCCCAAGGCAGCAGCCAAAGAGCCGTATAGGGGGTCGAAGCCAAAGAGCCGCAGGTTGGCGGCCCCTGAGCCCACACGCTCCGCCAGTGGGATGCCTGAGACCCACCGCCAGTGGGATGCCTGAGACCCACCACCAGTGGGATGCCTGAGACCCACCGCCAGTGGGATACCTGAGACCCACCGCCAGTGTGATACCTGAGACCCACTGCCAGTGGGATGCCTGAGACCCACCACCAGTGGGATACCTGAGACCCACCGCCAGTGGGATACCTGAGACCCACCGCCAGTGGGATACCTGAGACCCACCGCCAGTGGGATACCTGAGACCCACTGCCAGTGGGATGCCTGAGACCCACCGCCTGTGGGATGCCTGAGACCCACCACCAGTGGGATGCCTGAGACCCACCGACTGTGGGATACCTGAGACCCACCGCCAGTGGGATACCTGAGACCCACCGCCAGTGGGATACCTGAGACCCACCGCCAGTGGGATGCCTGAGACCCACCGACTGTGGGATACCTGAGACCCACCGCCAGTGGGATGCCTGAGACCCACCGACTGTGGGATACCTGAGACCCACCGCCAGTGGGATGCCTGAGACCCACCGACTATGGGATACCTGAGACCCACCGCCAGTGGGATGCCTGAGACCCACCACCAGTGGGATGCCTGAGACCCACCGACTGTTCTCCCCCACCCGATCAGCGTATCGTGCTCCAGGCTTCAAACTTGGGGGTTGACCGCCGCTCTTTTGTCTGCACGGCGCCCAGGCTTTGGAATTCCCCTGCCCTTCGAGGTCAGAAAATCGCAGTCAATGGAGACTTAAGGTGTCCCGGCTGAAGACCCCATCTTAAAAAAACAGGTCCCTGCAGGGTGGGCTGGTAGGAACATTGGAATTTTGCGCAATTTTATGACATTGTTACTTCCAAATGTTGGGTGCAATAAGACATATCAAGTCTCTGCGCTGTCTATTGCTGATTTTACACCCAACAGCACGAGATTTCACTTCGTTAAAGTATTGAAAGGGGACGGACGGACGGACACATTAATCTATTGCAGGCTGGTACACTCAGTTTACAACTTCGTTCCTACCAGTAAAAGGCCTACTCTCTCTTTAATTCTCTATCTTGTCTTCTTAATCCAGTGTTCTTCGCTAATTTTCAGAGGGGGTCACTTTCACCAATAAGACACCATCAGTGTGAGGGCCGCCATACATTTGAAACCATTGGGGGTTGACAGCACCACGACACCGGGGGGTGTTGTCACGTATTGTGTGTTGTCGGGGGCCGCACGTCAGGGGCCGCACCAAAGGCCACCATGGCCCGCCAGTGGCCCACGGGCCTTGCAATAAAGAGCACCCCCCCCTGTCGTCTATCTCTTCCGAGTTACTTCCCTCTTATTTTCCTATATAGATGGCGCTCTGAGATCCATTGTTTAAGGGCACCTTATAAACGTAAAGCATCATCATTATGAGTCGATATGGTAGTTATTGTCAGGGTCTGATTGGAACTGTACCGTGTGTTTGCCCCCTTCTCGCCAGGCTTGAGTTACACGCTCTCTGGCTGCCTTTCCAAAAATACACCCAACATTTCTCCCTGCAACAGCAGCAGCAGGACACTCGCGTTTTGCAAAGATAGAACTTGTTAACGCTCGTTTTAAAAAGTAGACCACTACCCAGAAACACATGAACATGTGTGACAAAGTTAACGGTCCACGTTCAAACCATTTCGTATCTGTGGTGGTCTACCTTTAAAATCATAATACCATCGAAATGTAAGCTTTATTTGCCCTTATTTTAAATTGTGACATGTAATGTACTCTACACGGGCAGATGATGCCCTAAGGAGAGCACACGCTGCATTATAACGTGGCAACAATTAGACGCGACAGTCCAGCAGCAAGGAATCAAATTATTTGGTGATGCTGCTGCGTTGGCGGCTGTATACTTAACCATAACCTCATACTCGTCAAAGACGCTGCTTTAAAAAAACTGGCAATGTTTCGGGAAATAGCCCTTCTTCATACTACATCACGTGCTCTTGAATACATATTTGGTATAGATTTGTTTTGTTCTTTTAAGGCAGTGTTGTTGACCAGTGTGTTAAGCTGTGAATCAGGTCAGTCAGGTCAATGCACGTTTACATGGTTCTGTAGCGAGTCCATTCTATAAAAATCTATAATCAAGATACAACATAGGTACAGCATAGAATAATATACATTCAGTCCAGTATGAGACAGCATGCTTCTCTCTGAGCACTTCCAAACAAGTTTACTCCCGCCGTGTTACAAAGCCACACGAACCACACTGCAGGTGAACTCCGTCTGCTCCGACAGACCGCTCACTTATCCACACCTGTGATGTTCATGTTGAGATGTTGGCTCGTTCTTATACAATTTACTGGATGGCCCTCCACACTGCTGCTCACGGATCTGAGTTGTACCCACTCTCGATCACTGATCCGGTCAGCTGTAGCCGCTTTATGCGTGCGAGTCACTCTCTCTCTCTAACCAGGGGATTGGCAACAGCTCCGCATACAAGGCAACCCCGACAAACCACCCAGCCCCACAGTCTCACACACACACACAGCTCCATGTTTGGTGGGGCACACAAAACACCGTCCACGTGGTCATCCCATGGCTTTTGCTGTGAAGTGGTGGCGCGCGCTGTGCATGAACAAACGAACTAGGGGCCCTGCGAATTCACGTAAACATGTGAATGCATCTCAGGTTAGCGCGGGTGGCGACGTACGGTGTGAAAGAAGTTCAACATCTATACATACAAGTTCAGATCCTAACATAACCAACCAATTAACACAAACGTTTCATGTCCACTGGGGCACTCCTTGAGTTTCATTTACAAATGTGTTGAGTGTGCAAATTGAGACACTAATTGGGAAGCATGAATGCAGGTGTACTGTTATTTTCCCCTCCAAATTTTAATGTAAATGGTGGTCCAATTATAGACACCCCACTGATTTCGTACGGCTTCTCAATGTGTGATTTAATACATTATTGGGAAAGGGATCGCTCCACATCTTACAGAAAGGTGTTTAATGTCTACTGGATACATTGGTGGGAGACATTCATTTGCTTTGAAATGAAAGTTTTCTCTCTACCGTACTGCACTTGCTTTAACAGTCTCTGTCTACTGCTGTTGCACAACAACTTGCAGATCTCTTTATAGGCCTGTGTGTTTAGGTCTGATGAAAACTGAATTGTGACATTGTCACGAGTTGACTTAAGTGTCCCTCGCCAAAAACAAATTAACACAATTAAATTCCATATACGTTATGAAAGAGACTTTGTTGAGTTGGTTGTTTCAGTTGATTGATGCTCGTGAATTCAATCAGCGGGATCCAGAACTCACTGTTTCAAATACATTTTGTTGAACCTGGTGAGCAACTCTGACCGATGTCACCAGAGCGGTTCACACCCCAGTGCATGTATCCGAGTGGAGGGCCGTAGAGGCTGTCAATCAAGTAGTACAACATTATCACTATCAAGTAGCATACCAGTGTCAACCCCTTATCAGTGCCTACCTTTTTACAGACCAATTTAGACCTTATTGGTCACCCCGTGCTCTTATACATCTCAACGTTCTTCCTACATCCCATCACACAACAATTTTTTTTGCCCGTATTGAAACGGCTAAACGCCGTATGGACCTGGAAACTAAATTTCCCTGCACAAGAATGGGGGTAAACCGTACGGGTTGACAGGTGTGAAGTAGCGGCCACATCTTTCCCGTTGTGCAACATCACCGTTGCACGCACAATCACGAGATTCATCCGAAGCGCGTGCGTGCGCGTGACGTCATACGCCCGCATGCGCATGCGCGTTGCGAAAACGAAACCCCACGCGCCCTCAAAGCGGAAGTTCAATTCCCTAGCACGCATAGGCGGGGGTGGGGGGGCGTGGAGGAACGGAGGGGTGCTTCTCATTGGTCCACGCGCGGGAGAGTGGGGGTGAGGGGAGGGGGTGAGCTTCCTATTGGCCGAGCGGCGAACGCACCGATCGGGTTGGCGCGCTCTGGCCAATGGGCGCGCGGGGCGAGCGCCCCCCCGCGGTGGCTACCGCGAGCCTCTTGGTGGCGGCTTCCACTTCCGCGTGCGCGGACCCCCCCCCCCACTGCATTGGCCGTGCACGACAACCCCCGGTGTCGCGTTCTCCCAGCTCTCCTCCTCTCCCTCTGCGTCGCTGTCCCTCCCCGCTCTCCTCCTCGCCCCAGTGTCTCTCCCCAGTGTCTCTCCCACCTCTCCCCAATCCCCCTCCCCAGCGTCACTCTCCCCCAAGCCCCCTCTCAAGTGTCTCTCTCCCAGCTCTCCCCAGTGTCTCTCTCCCAGCACTTCCCAGTGTGTCTCTGTCCCCAGTGTCTCCCCAGTGTCTCTCTCTCCCAGTGTGTCTCTCTCCCCAGTGTCTGTCTCTCCCAGTGTCTCTCCCCAGTGTCTCTCTCCCCAGTGTCTCTCTCCCTAGTGTCTCTCCCCAGTGTCTCTCTCCCAGCGCTTCCCAGTGTGTCTCTGTCCCCAGTGTCTCCCCAGTGTCTCTCTCCCAGTGTCTCTCTCCCCAGTGTCTCTCTCCCCAGTGTCTCTCCCCAGTGTCTCTCTCCCCAGTGTCTCTCTCTCTCCAGTGTCTCTCTCCTAGTGTCTCTCTCCCAGTGTCTCTCTCCCAGTGTCTCTCTCCCAGTGTCTCTCTCCCAGTGTCTCTCTCCCCAGTGTCTCTCTCTCCAGTGTCTCTCTCTCCAGTGTCTCTCTCTCCAGTGTCTCTCTCCCAGTGTCTCTCTCCCAGTGTCTCTCTCCAGTGTCTATCTCCCCAGTGTCTCTCTTCCCAGTGTCTCTCTCCCCAGTGTCTCTCTCCCAGTGTCTCTCTCCCAGTGTCTCTCTCCAGTGTCTCTCTCCCCAGTGTCTCTCTCCCCAGTGTCTCTCTTCCCAGTGTCTCTCCCAGTGTCTCTCTCCCAGTGTCTCTCTTCCCAGTGTCTCTCTTCCCAGTGTCTCTCTCCCCAGTGTCTCTCTCCCCAGTGTCTCTCTCCCCAGTGTCTCTCTCTCTCAGCTCTTCCCAATCTCGGATCGATATTTCCCGGAACGCCACGTGACTTGGCTTAGTGGGCTTTGGCTGGGCCGGCTTGCGGAGTACGGATTAGCGACGTAATAAGGCACTGCTACTCGAGTACAAGGTACGGCTTTATCCATCATCACAGTAGTGCCCTGTCACATCTGTGCCCCATGTCGCCACAACACTGCCGCGGTGTCATGTGGTACAGAAATGAAGAGGCGGAGGAGGATGGACCGAAACAGCGTCCTCACGGTTCCGACAGAGTGTTATTATTATTGTTACTGAGAGCGATGCCTCCGTGCCAGCGAAGAGTGTTAAACAGCTGCTACTCTAACACGAGAGACGAAACAACGGCGCACTTTTATCGGCCGGGCCGCTTGTCATTTTACTGGCGCCACTGGCGCCCTTTGAATCGTGCCGCGGATCGCGAGGGCGGCCGTGGGGTTCAGGACGTGTGAGTGAGTGGTCTCGGTCACCCAGGGGCAAGAAGGAGAAGTCCCCCGGGTTTCGTCATTCACGTGGCGTCGGTCCCCTGGTGGTGGTGGTGGATGTAGTGGGGAGCGGTGGCGCAGTGGTTAGCGCGCTGCGCTGCGAACCCAAAGCTGTCAAGCCATACGGGTTACCCGTATTCTCGTGCAGGCAAATTGAGTTTTCAGGTCCATACGGCGTACAACCGCTTCAATACGGGGAATTGTTTTTATTTGTTTATTTCTTTGTGTTTTTTTCTCTGTTGTGATGAGACCTTGTAGGATAAACGTTGAGATTTATAAGGGCACAGTGTGACCAATAAGATCCGAATTGGTCTGCAACGAGGTCGGGCACTGATAAGGGCTTGAGAGGTCTGTGCGGAACCCGCCCAGCCGGGTTCGATTACCGCTCACGATCAACCACCGGTTATGATTATCTGAACGAGTTTTGTGCCTCCCCCTAGGTCGACTCGGCCTCAAATGGGTGCCTGGGCGCTCCCTGTAAACATCGCCACTTGGGAGAGAAATGCGTCCGTTCTTGTGGTGCTTGCCACCCAAAACACCCATGATGTTCTTGGTTCTTTCGGTAAAGTCACCACGTAGAAGGGAAACAATAAAATAATAAAAGTATAAAACAATAAAATTATCACTACGTTTCGAATGCAACACAAGCAATCATCATCAGGTGTGAAAACCACAGCAATAAAATGTTTTCAAACCTGATGATGATTGCTTGTGTTGCAGTCGAAACGTCGTGAGAATTTTATTGTTTTATATTTTTTATTATTTTATTGTTTCCCTTCTACGTGGTGGTGACTTTACCGAAAGAACCAAGACTATGAATCCCTGCAGTCACGAAAGCTTTAAATCAAAACCCATGATGTTCTTGAATGGTCTCGAATGAGACGCGTTATTCTGGACGTCCGCGTTGTGCCACTTTGTTTGGCCGTGTTCTCCTGGCTCTGGGTGATGGACACGTTATCTTTGGCTAGAAAACGGCTAAACTCCATTGCGATTTTTTGCAGTGAGTGGCGATGTTGCAATGTGTCATCCCAATTGAGTAATTTGTGGGTACTGCGCTTTAATTGGAGCCTGGAGATGATGCATGAAGTGGGGTGACCATCATGTATCGAAGGTTTGTTGTTATAGGGCTGCACTGTGGGCACACGAGGGCAGTGCATTAAAATACATTGTTATCCTGTACTCTTATGCTCTGATGTCTGGGCCTCTTTCCTTCAACCACTGCTGACCAGTATCATATTTGCGTTGAGGCTCACTGTTCACATCGAGTTTTATTAAGATTAATCTGTCTGGTGATTGATCTCCGAATCACTACAGACGCTCATCAATGTCTCCCATCGCTGTAAAGGTTGTTGCGTTTAGAGACCGCGTGCCTTTGCGTGTGCCTAAGTCTGCTCAGGTGACGTCGACTCGCTAGGTCGGTGTGTGCTCCGGCTGCCTCGCTTCAGCATGGAACGTGTCTCCTCTTTTACAACCCAACTCAGGCTTTTGAACCTCCGTCATCTGCCTTTGCAACTTGACATTACTAAATTCAGCTCAGACTGGTTTGAATCCCTCAATCTCAAAATGTTCTCATTGTTTCTGCCCATTATGAGTTATAGCCTCTGATTTTAGTTGCGATTTCTGCTTATAACGTTTAACAAACTAATGTTTTTTTCTTGTTTCCAGCTGTAACCACTAATATTAGCCCCCAAATTTTAGTCCTGTCTCTCCCTCATCAGTCATCCCTAATGTCAACAGTCAACCTCTTCCTCCAGTGTTTTAACTCATAAGAGTAATGCTGCCTGCAAATTTTATCCCCTCCTCCCCACCATGAACTATTCAGCAGTGAGGGCTCTCATCATCAGGTCAGTTCACAGCGATGTATTTTAATGGAGCTAAACTGTGCTATGTGTTACCACATACCAATATACCTCGAGGCACGCTTATCGCATCTTGGCCTCCCAAATTGACACCACGAGCAGTCTTGTGTCGCAGAAAAGTTTGAGGATGCTGATCGTTAAGGCAATTGCTGAATGTAATGTTTACATTTGCCTGTGGCCACATAATACAGCAGTCAATGTGTAACAATAAACATCCATCCTATATGCAGAAAAGCTTCACTGTAACTGTTTCAAAAGAGTCATGAATTGACATGTTGAGCCAATTACTTTATTTTAAGGAGTGTTTTGCATGAGAGATAATTTAGGCAAAACCAACAATGATCAGGAATCAATTTCACGTCCTGTCATCTTCTGACGGTCATCATCGTGCAGCGCATGATGACGTCCGCGTGATCCACCATCGTCGTTGCTTGGGAAACACTGAATTAGCAGGCAGGCGTGCACCGTCATGCCCGGAACATACATCTCTCTCAGGATTACACAGAGTACAGTATTCTTTAGTGCAAGGCCCGCAGGCCACTGGTGGCCCCTGGTTGTCTTTAGTGCGGCCACTGTCGTGCGGCCCCCAACAAGACACACATGTGAAAACATCCCCCGTCATTATCGTGCTGTGAAACCCCAATGCTTTAAAATGTGTGGCGGCCCTCACACTGATGATGTCTTATCGGTGAAGAACATTGGTTTAGTGCAAGGAGATGTCACCTCTCAAAGTGGCATCATTTCACGCAGAAAATGTGCTCTGTTTTTGTCCAGAGCTCACACAAAACTGAATCGTGTTCTTGCTGTGTGTGTCTATCATTGGTGAGACACTGATGGCCCCCAGTTGTGGAACTCCATAACGTGGACATTTTTAACTCCTGTCGAAAAACACATCTGTTTTTAAAACATTCTAATCGGCCTTGTTCCTCTCTGGTTCTTATTTTGCCGCCCGGTTCTTTCTTGTTATCGTTGTCCTCCTCACGCATGGTACCTTGAGACATTGCAAATTATTATTGTGATTGCATTGGCTCTTAAGTTCAAAGAGCTCAAGTTTGTGTCCATTTTTCCTGGTCATAAATCATCGGCGAGACTATGTATGTATGTTGAACTTCTTTCGCACCGTGCTAATCGATACAGACTGTCCCTACATTGTTGTTTTATACTTGTTTAAAATTGTAACGTACCCACTTGTGCAAGTAGTTCCTCTTGCGCTATGTTATATAACTAAATATGCGCAACGTAGCCTTTTTGCAAGGTGATTTAACAGTTTTCATGTTTTGCATGTATCTTGCATCCAAAGAAATACAGACAATAAAAACAACGGTTCCATTCGGGGGCGCTCATTTGTTTACGGGCTAATGTGATGTGCGAACAAATGTGCTCCATTAATGTTTCACAATTTGATGTATTAAGCCATTCACGCTATTTTAACAGTGAAATAATCATGACCTGGGTGTTTTCAGTGATGGTAAAATAAGGTCTGCAATATTATTAACTTGCAGCATTATAGTGAGTACTGCATTTTGGGTAATAAGCAATATGGGGGAAATAAACCAGATTATAGATACTCACAGGCCCTTTGGATTACATCCGTTGGATTGCACTCCCTCGTAGAGGAGGCCGCTCTCTTTTTCTACAGTTACATGCTAATTTCTCACATTAACATCATGCTAATTTCTCACATTAACATCATGCTAATATCTCATATTAACATAGCCACTTCCGTGCCCTCGTCGAGGAGACCGCTCTCCTCCCATCTTACTGCTACATGCTAATTTCTCACATTAACATCACTAGCCCTGGCCACTTCTTTATGACCCTTGGGCTACACCCATTTCAAACCTTTTAAAACAGTCTGCCTCAGCAGCAGGCCAAGCTTTCCCACCTGATGACGGACGCCTGTGTTGCGCCCGAAAAGTCGTGATTTATTTTATTTTTTATTTTACTTTATACCTACGTGACTTTACCGAAAGAACCAAAGAGTACAGATTATAGATGCGGAGTGCGATCTTCGATGGAAGGAAAGTAAAAAGCAGACTGTTGCCGTAAAATTTTCTAGGATTCTCAGCTTCAGCAAGTTTGGCCATTGACCTTCTGGCCACGCGAAATAATGTGGTTCGAGCAAATGGCGTGCGTTGCACCTTCGTGCACGTGAATTATCCATCGTGTCGGTAAAACGACGGCAATGGTGGAATGTACCAAGAATCGGTTCCCATTATGAAAAACCCGTTGCGTCACTCGCTGAGAGGGAAACGGAGTGATGCACTGACAGGTCCCGTGGTGCCCATTGCACAAGTGCTTCTCAGAAGTGTGCTCTTGAGACTGAAGGGACGAGAGTCTTATTTGCATGACGGACCTGATAAAATATGTTTTGGGAAGGAAGATTTTAATTGCTAAACAACTCGATCGTAAGCGTTACACGGCCGCTTTTCGTGTAACTTCGGGCACCTTGAATCAAAGGCCGCTGCACTGTGCAAGGTAAACACACATGCGTCTCTTTAACCCACCACATTCAGCTCTTTAACCCACCACATTCAGCTCTTTAACCCACCACATGCGTCTCTTTAACCCACCACATTTAGCTCTTTAACCCACCACATGCGGCTCTTTAACCCACCACATGTGGCTCTTTAACTCACCACATGCATCTCTTTAACCCACCACTTGTGGCTCTTTAACCCACCACATGCGTCTCTTTAACCCACCACATGTGGCTTTTTAACCCACCACTTTCGTCTCTTTAACCCACCACATGCGTCTCTTTAACCCAC